GGTGAAAATTTTATTATACCACGGATCCCTATAATTCCCACAGATCTTCCTTTTCAATTCAAAAGGTTGCAGTTCCCTATTAAGCTCAGTTTTGCAATGACAAATTAATAAAGTCAACTTAGAATAACCGTGCTTTTCTCATGGTCAGCTGTATGTAGCATGTCCGCGTGTTTCAAATGCTCAGAATCTCCACATTCTTTCCCCGAATGGAAAAACATATAACATTGTGTACAGTAGCGTTTTAAAATAGTGTTCAGTTAGTTTTTTTCCAAAATTCCCACAATCAATTAATCTGAATTCCCACAGATCTTCGCTTTCAATTCAAAATTTCCTATTAAGCTCAGTTTCCTTTCGACTCAAAAGGCTGTATCTCTGACGGATCTTTTATTTCGCTCAGTTTCTTTTCAAAAGTCTGCATCCCTGACGGATAATTATGCTCAGTTTCCTTTAATTAAAAAATATCCCATTTCCATTTGGAATAAACAGGCTATTTTCATGCTTTCCTATACGCTGCGTTTCAAAACGGCTGACTAGGTAGGCTAGGCTGACGAATCAATTTTACTCAGTTTTCTTTCAATTCAAAACGCAATGGATAGTTCATTTCCCAGTGACCATGCGGGCGAAGCCCCGGGTAACAGCTAGTAATCTATAGATTACAAAAGTAATATTAGTTTAACCGTATCTAACGGAAAAACTGTGAAATTTACAATTAAAATTTGAATGTCACAGTAACCTAAAAACAAACTAATAGCGATTGTCTAGTAGTTATTACCGGTATTATAAGTTAAAATAGTGCACAACTCAATAATTAAAAGTAAAAAATAAAATTGTAGATACATTTAGCATTTAGAGGTACTTTAAGATTGATGGAAAATCCTTTTAAGTAGTTCGTTCTTCATTACGAGTACACGCATTTTTTTCATATTGCATTAGCCAGAACACGAATATCAAAACAATTTTTTTTTCAGAATTCATGACTGTGGTTGGATTTTCATGAAATATATAGTCTGTTAACTATAATAAATTGGTATCTTTTTTATTGTGTAATAAAATAAACTTACGTTAAAATTTCTAGTGGGCCCAAAAACGATTGTCTCCTTTTAAGATTTTTTTATGAATAAATCACGTGTGTACTGTGTACTTTACTTAACTTAACGGCTGCATTTACAATTTTTTTTGTCCTCGTGCTGCAATACTGTGAGGCATTCCATCTTCATCAGAGATGACATCGCATCTGTAACCTTCATTGTTGAAAGTTAGTTGCATATGCCCCTGGGCTACAGTACACACTATCGGGTTAACTGTAACTTCGTTTGTTACTTTAGTTCCATAGAAAAGAAATGATAAGAGTGACAGTCTCCAGTGTATACAGTGAGTTTAATACGCATTTATCTTCTTCTTCATCAGACATGAAAAATATACGGCTGGATATGGGCTCGTTGTAATAAGGATTTAGTCGTTACGCTTGGTGAGCACTGAGCAGATTTCTTTTTATAGGATAGGGTGACAAACGAGCACACAGTCCACCTGGTGGTAAGTGGTTGATGTGGCCCATAGACATCTACTTACATCTACGCGGATGCGTTGTCCCCGTGAGGACTTAGATGGAATGCCTCGTTTCCAGTTGAAAAGAGTCTCTGGATTTCTACACTCACCATACGAAACACAGCAGTAGTAAGCTGCTGTTTCACGCTGGTATTCTGTGAGAGCGTGGTGCTTCCCCGGTCGAGCCGACCCATTCCTGTTACAACCATAATATAGCTGCAGCGTGGCTCTACCACGTGTAAACCAAGTGTGATGTGTTTTATATGGTGAGCGTAGAGAACCGGTGACTTTTTACTGGTAACTAGGCATTTTATCTAAAAAAAAAATATTGTTACACTTGTAAAATAATCAATGATGTGATCGGACATTTTAGAAAGTTCGTTCCAAATATGTTTAAACTCAGATTATTATAATTAAAATCAATTTCCACCGGAAAAATTGTTTAAATGGCATGGCGCGAATTAGAGAAAGTTATTGCTAATTTCGTTTCCATTTATTTGACGGATGTTTTAAGTTGTTGTTTATTTTTAAGTGCCTAAAATGAATACCTAGTTATTTGTAGCAAAATGTAAGAGCCTACTTAAATTAAATAATTTAACATTCTGAGATCGGTGGTTCAATTATTCTTGTAACTATGTCTTAGCAATAAATGGATAATAATATAATAGCAGATAGAAAAATTCTATTATTTTTAGTTCTTTGAAATCGGCTTTTAATTATTTTTATAAGTTACCTTTTTACTAGACTTGCAATTTATATTATATTCGGCCACACGCCTAATACCGGATTCCTGACTTCCTGGACTAATTCCTAAACTGAATTCCTGGCCGAATAGCCTAACATGAGGCAAAAATATTCGCCGGGAAAAAAGAAAGTAGTGTGTATTCAGAGCGCCTTTTCTTGGAAGCTGGGATTGTCTACTACCCAAAAATACAGAAAAATTGTCTTTCTGCACCATAGTCTTTCTATTTCTCTTTTTTTTTTTACAAAACGTTACTTCACTAGGAATTTCTCCTGTATCGTGGGGGCAATTTACAAACATAAATTGCACAAGGACGATCATCCAGACCCAGAACAATTACTTGTAGGCCATACAAATACTTGTTCCGTGTGGGGTTCGAACCCGCGGCCCTAAGCGCTAAGGTATTGCGCCACGGAGCCGTCAATTCCAGGTTTTGTTTTATATTACGGAAGTTGGTTATGTTATGTACGTTTGACTACTTTAATTATTATAAGAAAAATACATCATGTTATAGTAAATCAATAATTTCATTTTACCAATTATCTGACTCCAAAAAAAATATTTTAAAAGAAAAATACATAATAATAAATATAAAAATACTTAAGTATACATCGACCGATAAATACCTATATATTCGGTGTTAGACCGAGTAGGATAAAAGTAGCTGAATAGACGAATACGGAACAATAGCTGAATATTCGTTGCAAGTCTAAAGTATGGTCTAATAAGCAACTAAAGGTGCGCTTACACGAGGGCAATAATTGCTCGGCGACACGAATGGACCGATCTGGAGCAATTAATGGAGTAATTTCAAAGCAATGGCGCAAATTGCGGCAATTATTTCGGCGATATTGCTTCTAATTGCTCCAGATATTTCATATCGCTCAATGTCGCAGATACGAATTGACGAATATCCAATGGGCTTGGAAATTCCTAGCAATTTTTGTATATATCTCATTCGCACTTGTTTGTTTTGCGGCTTGCCGTCTTGCTTCCGCGGGGAGCAAGACGGCAAGCCGCAAAATTATTTCAAATTTTATTTATTCGAAAGTAATTCAAAGTCTGTTCGTGACATTCTAGTAAAGTTTTTGAATAATATATCATCTAATTCTTTACACAATGAAAATTGCGGCCTCTTTGCCAAAAACGGTCGCACCCAGATACGCCTATTCCTTTTCTTTCTTTTTTGTTTTTGATTAATAATAAAAAAAAGCGCTACAAGCCGCCTCAGCAAGAACAATGTCGTCCATAGCGAGCGAATACTGAAATGCTCGTGTAGGACAGTATTGCCTAGTTGATGAAGTTGCGCCATATCGCTCAATATTGTATTGCGCAGTATTGACGCTTGTTGCCGTTGCCGTGAATTGCTTGAAGTAGTCGTGACGTCATAGTTGACGAGTATTGACTGGAATTGAGCAATTTTAGTTGCCCGTGTAAGCCCACCTTTAAATATCGTCCAAATACTTACAAATATATTGCGTCCAAATACTTACAAATATATTACACCGACGTGGTAAAGCCATGCTCCAGCTATATTAGTCGTATAGTTGTAGCACGAACGGGTCGGCTCGACCGGGGAAGCATCACTCCCTCACAGAATACCAGCGTAAAATAATAGCTTAATGCCACTGTGTTTCGTATGGTAGGCAGGATACGAAGCATTTCATCTTAGTCCTCTCGAGTAACAACGCTTCTGCATTTTGATTCGTAATCGAGGATAGATGTAGATGTCTATAGACCACAGCAACCACTTACCATCAGGTGGACTGTGTGCTCGTTTGTCACCCTATCCTATAAAAAAAACGTACTTTATCTGCTATTTTGTTACACTTTTGGATGATTTTTTTTCCAAATTTATATTGCACCACCCCGCAAGTATAACCAAGTTAATAAAAAAATGTGCGTGTAATTGTGTGTGTAGATATCTATTAGACTCTGCGGTGGCTGACCGTTAAGAATAGAGATGAAACGGATAGCTATTTCGATACCGGATACCGGTATATTTGGCAAGTCTTATCGCCGGATAGCTGGATTTCCGGTCTCCAGATATTCTGCCGAACATTGCCGTTTGGTGCATCGCAAGAAGCGAAAAGTAAAGACAGTGCAAACTGTTCGCGACCGTGACCTTTATATTTGGTGGGCAGGTGTTGCTGCACAATACCCAAATTTATCAAAGTTTGCAACTTTCAGCACCCTCGCAGTGTTCAGTGAAAGACTTCTTTTTGAAGCTGGCGTTGTTTATGAAGACAGGCGAAATCGCTTGTTACCTTTCAATACATAGAAATTAGTATTTATTCACCATAACTTGCCCTTAGCTACGTAGTACTATTTTTGATTCTGTGCCTTAGCGCAGTACGAGTACTAATTTTGTAAGTATTAAAATGAAAATTTTCTGGTTACTGATTATATAATATTTAGTATTTGTTAAGTGACATAAATGAAGTACTTAACTAAATTTGATATTTTGTGATTTTTTACCCCAAAAACACTCAGAAATAAGAGGAGGTCTGTGCCCAGCAGTGGGACATATATAGGATGTATAAATTTATGCGTGTATGCGTAGGTATATGGATGTGGAGGAGGCGAGAGAGGTGTGTCAGGATCGTGCCAAATGGAAGTCCGTAGTCTCTGCCTACCCCTCTGGGTGACAGGCGTGAGTGTTTATGTTTCTAATACCTAATTGTAGATAATAATGTTGTGTCGCGTCTAACAGTGCTTGCGAAGCTGGTTCTGCGTCAGCCGCGTCGGCCCTGGTGTCAGCGGGAGCTGACGGGCGGGCACACCCGGTGACCAGATATGGACCGCTGTACATCGCCTGTTACCATGGGCATGCAGATATTGCACGCCTCCTGCTCGCTCACTTCCCGGAGGCAGTACAAGTAAGCTTCATATAATACTAGCTTGCCAGGCAGAGTTGTTCTGCCCTTTTCGACGACCTTTGTCATGTCCTATTAAAAACCCTTAAATTCGCAAAAAAAAAATTGTGGGTCACTCATGGGCAAAAAAATCTATTCTATCTCTCCCAAGTTGGACCAAACTGCACACGGTGTGCAAAATTGATTAAAATCGGCTAAGTAGTTTAGGACTCCATCGCGGACAAACAACGTGACACGTAATTTATATATAAAAAAGGTTGTTCAATGGTTGACTGGAGAGAATCCATTAAGATATTACTTTTTTCATGAAAGTATAAATAAATAAATAATTATTGACGTTGATTGCCCTGTAAACGTCTAGTAATCGTAAATGTGGGTGCGAACTTCGAAACCTCAAACCACGTGGTTGTGTCAAATGGAAGTCAGGAAAATAGAAATAGGTTTAGCCATATCAATTTACATAAAGAATTAGAAATTCATGAACCAGGTGACCTGTATAATTACTTGCGCATGGATATAGAGTTGTATAAACTTCCCAGAATATTTTATAATAATTAAAACTCATTGCAAATTAAAAATCTCCAAAGTTTGTTAAATAATAATAAAAGTCCGTCTGCACTGGTTTTTGTCGCTCTTGTGTCTGTGAACAGACAGCCCGCAGTTAAGCGGGGAATTCACTAGACGGACTTGCCCACGGATATGTCTGCAGACATTCCCGCCGCACTTCGCTCCTACTGCGGACTGCGCTAGTGCACGCAATTGAGGGAGATGATGATGATGAATGACGATGGAAAAGAGAGAGAGAGGGAAAATAGGAAAGACAGAAAGATAAAGAAAAAGGGAAAAGATAGAGAGAGACAGAAAATAAATAGAGAGAGAAAGAGAAATAGAGAGAGAAAGAGAAATAGAGAGAGAAAGAGAAATTGAGATAAAAAGAGAAATAGAGAGAGAAGTAGAAATGGAAAGAGAAAGAGAAATAGAGAGAGAGAGGGGTGAGGAGATAGAGTGAAGGGGAGAGACGGAGAAAAAGAGAGGGAATGAGAGAAGGAGAGAAAAAGTAAGAGGGGAGATTGAGGAAGATTTTTGGAGAGCGTTAGATTGAGAGATTTTTGGAGAGCGTTCTTCGTTCGTTTGAAGGCATGCTTCCAAGGTTGAGCCGACCCATCCGTATTGTAGACATAATAATTTATTGTTATAGTGTCGCTGTACCACGTGAAAAAAACAAACAATCATTCGTGTCTTTCAGCAAGAGACTGTAGAGAAGTGGCTGCCACTGCACGCGGCCTGCATCGGCGGCCACGCGGCGTTGGTGACTCTACTGCTGGAGTACCCTTACCCCGAGCATCTGCTACAGACCTTCACGTAAGCTAGATAGATAGATACATGATTAATTCCTTATTGCACACACCAAAACACAAAATAAGAGACGAAAATAATCTAAAGTTAAAAGGTAGTAGAATGGTAGGTCTTATCGCTAAAAGGGTTTTCTTCAAGACAACCTTTGGATGATCAGAATTGTAGTAGGGCCAGTATAACAGCATGACCAGTTTCTGTAATTTGATTGTTATTTTGAATATATACAATATTAAACGCCATGTGTGAAGTTTTGAAGATTTAAAGTTTGGCTTTTATTTATATCTATTGATATTTATATAGAGTGAAGTGAATAAAGTAAACGAAATATTGTCGCGGTGTTTAAATAACGACGTTGTTTTATAAATGACGTTAGAATTCACGAAATGAATGGTTCTAAGTTATATTTTTTAATTTAACACTAGCGATCCGATGATTTCTGTATCTTGACAACAGCGCCATTTACCGGGTCCAATATAGTTTTTAAACCATCCAGGCACCTACTTAAATACACACAAAAAAATTCATCAAAATCGATCAAACCTTTTTCGAGTTTAGCGAGACTAACGCACGACAAGTAATTTATGTAATATATTTTAACAAACTAATATAAATACATATATGGGTTCATTTGCTTCCTTTTCCTATTATATATATTTTAAGACAAACGTTTCCAGGAGTAAACTTCAGTCACGCGTCGTAGCTAACAGGCACAATTTTTTTTAACTTATGGTTTTCGAAATGTTTTTTTTATTTTGTTTATTTAATCACATTTACAGAAAAAACATTACATAATTTTATAACTTCGCCAAACTGTAAAGACAGTTTGTAGGCGAATAAATGCACTCTTATATCCTAATTACATAATTAAATAAGTACTCAACCCACATAGTATAACAAATAAATAGAAATTTTAAACATAAACACTATAATTTCCACGCTCTATCAGTTCCAATTACAACACCCCACCCACAAAACATTGCAACAAAATAAAAATTATAAATATAATCCGGATATATTTTTCAAATATTACAAACAAATAACAGTTTTCTGAATGGTCATACATCTAGCATTTTATCCAAAAAATAATTCCCAGGTTTCTTTTTAATTGTTAATTTGCAATTAGGTCTACCTTGCATTAGCCAATCTATTTCATTAAAAAGCTTTGGTATTAAATATTTTGTACATCTTTTACCATAGTAGTTTTAACACTAGGCTGGAATAATTTCCCTTCTCTAACTTTCCTTGTTCTATATTTATTATCCAATTTTTCGTTATAATGGTTTTTATGAATGTTTTCCAAAACGAATAGCATGTTAACTTTGTGTTCTACCGGTAAAGTTTTACAAATAGAGAATAACTTATTATAATTTTTCTTACAATTTTCTTTAACTTTTTCATTTACAAGATATTTTAGGATTCTTTGATGATTGATGATTCGTTGATATTTTTGATTACATAGCCCGTCTACACTTTCAGTTAATGTGATTTGTTTTATCACATTAACTTTTCTTTTAAGGTTTATCGACCCCATTCATAATATTATTTAAGTGTATATTTATAATGACCATATTTCTGTCCAAATCATTATGTGAAGTCGTAAGAGGCGACAATAGGTAATTTCAATAAGGCTTTTGACACTTGTTGGTCTACTCTTTTCGTTTATTCCACGTAAAAACTTGCCTAAAAACTGTATAAGAAGTGCCAAGTGTGTCGCTACAGTGTTCTTTTAGGAGCTGATAGATAGGAATTTTAGGTATTATTTTAAATTTCTTGAAATACAAACGGTGTACCTTAAGGTTTTATATTAGGTTCTTCATCATTCTTTCTGTACAGAGATGCATCTGGGCAGTGGCGTTACCGGTTCGCGTTTGACGTGAACGCTCGTGACGCGAGTGGGCAGACAGCGTTATACGTGGCCTGTACGCTCGGTAATGTGGCCGTGGTTGATGCGCTGCTGGCGTTCTCTCTGCCCAAAGAAAGAGTGCCACGGGATCAGGTTGGTTACTCTAAATAGATGAGAAATGTAACGGTTTAAAAATAATTGAATTACTTATTTTATTACTTATTTTTCATTTCCGACATTCGGGTACTTTGAAGCACTCATTGTCACGGGGGCGGGGCAGATAGTAGCACCCATACACCTTCACTATTCTTCGAAACGTCGGTAATAATAATAAGTAAAATTAAACGATTAAAGACAACCGATGGGGAAGTAAAGTTCCAGAGAGGCAGCCGCGTACCTGTAGGCGAAGTGTAGAACATCCCCCCACTAGATGGAGTAACGAGACGAGCTGGTAAGATGTGAAGTCAACAGATGCAGGTGGCTCTGGACCGTGCTTTGTAGCATTCCTTGGGCGAGTTTATGTTCAGCAGTGGATTGTAAAATGTTGTAATGATGATGATGATGATGATGAACCACAGCGCCAACGAAAAACTACTAGCGCTGTTGCACAATATTCGCATCTATAGTTATTTGCTTAATCATGATACATATGTGGGTCTCTACAAATTTAATCTTCTCTAGCAGCCAGAAGAAGCAGAAGAGGCCTCTACGCCTCTACCAGCAAGTGCCAAGCAGGTGCTGAGTCCGCATCGGGCTGGCATCTCGCTTGGCATCCATGCGATTGTCAGCAAGCTTACTGGTTCAAGCAAGCCGGTATGTTAATTTTGTAAAGTAGGTTTTAGAAGTAGGTATACTAGTAGCTAGTAGTAGAAGGTACACCTTAATGTGGCTTTTAAAAGATGGCAATTTAACTTTTTTATAATACCATTACCTGTGCAGTCTACCAAAAAGTCCAACTGCTGAAGACAGGCTTCTCTTATTGATAATTTAAACAAATTTAAAAAATAACTTAGAACGTACATATAAATGAAACATTATTTAAAATAAATGAAAATATAATAATATAAGAATTAAAAATGTTTTTCAAGTTATTACTGTTAGATAGATAGAGACTAGTACAACCTAAGAACGATACACAGTCAGTCACCGTTTGATGTTGTCGGAAAAGCTGACATAAACAATAAACTGCTAGGGTTGTTAGAACAGGAAGTAATAAAAAAATAAACGACTTATTTTATCTTATTTCACGTTTAAACAAATTCCTGTGTATGTGATATAAACGCAAACACTCACGTCGGTCAACCAGAGGGGTAGGCAGAGACTACAGACTTCCATTTGGCACCATCCTGACACATTTCTCGCCTCCTTTACATACATACATATACCTGCAAACATGCTCGTCGGTTAAGGGTACTCCTAATTTGGCCCGTTTTCAATAAATCGCCAATTTGGTCGATAAATTTTCGCCTAGGACGTCCCTTTCCAACTCTGCCATTCACTTTTGCAACATAAATTTTCTTTGTCACTCTTTCCTCATCCATTCTTTTCACATGACCAAACCACCGAAGCATTCCTTTCTTAATCCTGGTCACAACATCATCTTGCAAACTACACTCTTATCAGACAATTTCTCACCCTGTCATTCAGATTCAGCCTTAACATACTCCTTAACGACCGCATTTCTACTGCGTTCATTCTACTCTCGTGCTTCTTCCGACACACTCAACTTTCACTACCATACGTTAAAGTAGGGACCAACACAGCACTGTGAATTGCCATACGTGCCTTTTTTGACACATTCTGACTCTTCACAATAGAGTGTAGGGCTCCATTTACTCTATTTCGTGCAGGAAAATGTGTATGTGAAAACTGATGAAACTTTAATTCCTTACCTTTAAAAGAGGACGACCCACAGTTTACCGCACATGTAGTGTGTACCATTTTAATTTATTTGCGTGACAGGACAGCCCTAGCTGACAGCTCCCGAGTGACTAACGGCCGTTCGGGCGTGTTTCGCTCGTATCTCGCCCCGCACCGCACCGCACGATTGCCCCGTCTAGACGCCTGCAATGACAGACTGTTAGCAGTAGTTACTGTGCTACTAGTATCGATCTTAATATTACTGAAGGCCAAATGCTATTTACCTCCACTTTAAGTGATCGACCTCGCGTTCGTTTGTTTACACTTTTTCTTTAGGAATTTTAATAATCTATATTGAATAAAAAATATATTTTATAAGTGGTAGAGCCACTCTGCAGCTATGTCATGGTTGTAGCACGAATGGGTCGGCTCGACCGAGGAAGGACCACGTTCTCACAGAATACCAGCTTAAAATAACTGCTTAATGCTGCTGTGTTTCGTATGTTGAGTGTAGAGAACCAGAAACCCTTTTTTTACTGGAATCGAGGCATTCCATCGTAGTCCTCGGGGTTAACAACGCATCTGCGTTTTGATTCGATTTCGATCGAGGATAGATGTAGGTGTTTTTATTTTTATTTTATTTTCTTCAGGACAACAAACAATTGTGTAATAAAATATAATACAAAATACAGGTCTTACAAAAAGGGAAATACAATAATTAAACAACCAGCACCGTTATCCACAAAGTAATATCACAATAAAAGTAATATAATAATGCACAGCAAACATGTTGTATGATACCACAAAAGATGAATAATTCGAGCGTTCCCTGAGCAAATCCCAGCCAACACAACCACTGTAGTGGCTATGCTAGCCAAAACCTGTCTCGAGAAACAACATAAACGGTTTAAACCTTAAGGCAATACCTGACTTAGTAGTAATTTTTTTTTAAAATACACTTTTTGAACATTACAAATGATAAAGCAAATATGTCAAGATCAGTAAAGTTATCATTATATGATTTCATGATCGCCGTAGTGGAGCTCTCTCCACCGTGTTTGTTCGGCACATCTTAGGAGCAAATAAACGATGATTATACGTATTACGAATGCGTTGGGACCGACTAGGTATGCGTAGATATATTTGATTTATGAGTTGATTACAATCTAATTTATTATGACAGATTTTGTATAAGAATAACTGATCAAAATATAATCTTCTCATTTTTAGAGTGGGAATTGAGAATTTATCTAAATGAGTGAGATACGATGACCATTTCCTAAAGCATTTATAGTTTAAAAACCGAAGATATTTACGTTGTATCAATTTCAGCTGATCACTATATTTTTCATAATAAGGGTTCCAAACGCAAGTGGCGTATTCGAGTTGTGACCTAATGAGTGACTTATATAATAATAAATACGTCGCAGGCCTTTTAAACAGATTACAGGTCCTTCTTACGAAAGCACTGAGCTGAAAGCCTTTAGCCGTAATGTGACTAATATGAGCATCAAAATGTAGCTTCGAGTCAAATAGTATTCCCAGGTCTTTTATTCTGGAGACTTTTTGTAAAGTAGTGTTACAAAGAAAGTATGTTAAATGGATGACATTAATATTTTTAGTAAATGTGATAGATTTACATTTTGATAAACGTAGCTGTAAATTATTAGCAGCACAATAAGCAGACAAACGATCCAGATCACTTTGCAATTTATAACAATCTTCAGTTGTGTTTATTTTCCGAAAAATTTTTAGGTCGTCAGCATACAAGAGAAAATGGGTGTTTTTGAAGCAGGTACGAAAAGCAACGGCCCCAAAATTGATCCCTGCGGTACACCAGATGTCACATCTATCACATCTGAAGAAAAGCCATTGAAGACAACCTTTTGGCTTCTATTTTTTACATAAGAAGCAAACCAGCGTAACAAGTTCCCACGTATACCATTAAATGCGATTTTTTGTAGTAGTATAGTATGGTCCACCTTGTCAAAAGCTTTACAGAAGTCAGTGTAAATGGTGTCAACTTGGAGTCGGTTATCCATATTTTCAAATAAGAAGTTAGCGTATAAAACCAAATTACTTACCGTGGAGCGATGTGGATGTTTATAGGCCACAGCATTCATTTACCATCAGGTGGACTGTGTGCTCGTTTGTCACCCTTCTACTATAAAAAGACATTCTATTCTATTCTAAAGACAGATTTAATTTGATTGTTTTGCAGAACGTTTCAGAGGGCGAAGCCCGTATCCGTGCGGTGCGGACGGACATGGGTCGGGGCGTGGACAGCTGTGTGGCGGCGGCAGTTCGCGGCGCCCACCTGCGCGTGCTCAAGCGCCTGCTGGCAGCCGGAGCCTCGCCCGATGCCACGGCACAGCCTCCGCACGCCTTGGTAAGTTTCATTGGATGTTATAAAATGGGATACGAGTTTCGTCCCGTTTTGAGGCGAATTCCGCAAAACCACACTCCACGGTGATACATATCGCAAGTTTTAAATACAAACGATTTTAGCTCTATTTGCATAAATACGCTTAAAAAGGTGAAAGAAACGAATAAATATAAATTTATAAGTTACCCAATAGGATAATTTCCGTATCGTGAAGGCAGTTTACACATAAATTGCACAAAGAGAAACTTGCAGACCTAGAACAATTACCTATAAGCCATATAGTTCAATGGATTACATCTGAAATATTTACAGATGGACTAAATATGCTATCTTCAGTTTGGTACAGCCGTCAAACTGCCAACCTCCGAAAATAATCCTCACGTAGTTTATTTAATATTAAATATAATATCAGATCTGGATAAAATTTAAAACCACTGGTTTGGAATATATTGTTTCAACTTATTCTAAGAGGTATGTTGGTAGTCTACGTAAGAAATACACTCGAAATGATAACATGTATCGTAAATGTATTGTGTGATGAACGTGCATGAGTCAGTTACACCAGTGATATCAAACTGAATCGTATTTCGCCCCATTTAGATGCGGTATCCCCATTTTGTATCTAGAAGTCTATTTGGCCACCTCTTTTTATTTATTTTTTATTTTATACATGCTAGAACAGGTACAGCCATGCTGCAGTTATATTATTGGTATAGTTGTAGCATAGTGAAGTTGTGGTATAGGGTTGGCACAGCATAGTGCTGCTGTGTTTCGTATGCTGAGTGTCGAGAACCGGAGACCCTTTTTACTGCAAAATGGACACTCCGACTTAGTCCTCAGGGGTGACAATGCATCTGCATTTTGATTTTTAATAGAGAATAGGCAACGATGCAGCAGATGAACTGGCCAGAAGGGGACCGGCTCTGGCAACTACAGGGCCGGAACCAATAATACCGATCCCCTTTGGCTACGTTCGTTCACTGGTATGTAGATACTTCAATAATTTACACGCTCAGCTTTGGAAAAATTTAGTAGACTGTAGACAAGCTAGGGAGGCCCTGCCTGAAATAAACAGTCGTCTAACCAAGGTTCTAATGAGACTGAACAAGCCACAGATTAGGATAGTAACAAGTGCTATCACAGGACCTGGCTCTTTTAACAAATATTTGTTTACCATAGGTGTTACTGGTAGCCCCCTGTGCAGACGAAACGGCGGCTCACGTGTTGCTGACATGTCCAGAAGTCGCTTCATACAGAGCTAAATATCTCGGCACGCCAGGATCGTTCCCCGAAGTTGCTTGCAACATCAAAGGACTGTTGAACTTCTTCAGGGAGATATCATGTCTCGAATAACCACATTATTCCTGCCCACACGCAAAATACGCACTTGCGGAAAACAGCCCGTCGTAAACTAAACTAAACTAGATGTAGATGTCTGTGTTCCACAGCAACCACTTACAATCAGGTGGACTGTGTACTCGTTTGTCACACATATTTTGTAAAAATAATTATTTATGTATAATTGTGAAATGTTTCTAGGAGGAGAGTGAAAGTCGCGAGGCTCGTCGTCGATCCCGCAGCGCTTCTGCGGCCTGCAACCGATCCTCTGCTTCTCCCTCTCCCTCACCTGCGCGTGGAGGCTATAACGATGACCGTAATAACATTTAATCTATTAGAAACTTCAATTTTAGTTTTATCTGTACCGATTGTAGAACGCAAATGGTTTTTTATATTACTTTGGGTTGTCGTGTAGAGTTGGTGAAATAGAATTTGTCACCTCACTTCACGTGTCGTAAAAAGTGACTGTAGGATCATAAAGTTTGTATATTTTGTGCTTAACAGAAATATAATTCTTCTATTCATTTATTGAGTAATTACAGTCTTTTACAAGTTCACTGGTAATAGAACATAGGCCTATCCAAGAAATGCCTATACACAATATCTAAAATGTAGGGTGCATGCACAAATAGGTAAGACTCAAAAGAGGATTATAGGTATCGCCAATGATATTACCATCAAAAAAAGAAGAAATTAATACAATCAGGCGTTACTTTGTAAGCAACTTGCGTTTATTTTACGTGGGTCTTAGCTAATTCCTATTTTTATTTTTAAATAAATGTTTTATTATAATAAATATTAAAATGTTATTGTCATTTAAAATACAAGATTGTTATTAAGATTTGCTTAAATTCTGTAATTTTTATAATCTGGCAACATTGTCACCGATGACTGTGTGTTTGAATGAGTGGTGGTGACTATGTTGCTACCCGACAGCCGCCAGGGGCCGCATGTATTAACATGCTATACATGGCAGAGCCACGGTGCATATAGTATTGTTGCGCGCTATAATTAGCGCCTGATATGTGGCGGCTAATTATTAGTGCCATCTACCAATCTTCTTTCGAACTCTTTCATCAGCGCCATCTAGTGTCGAATGTAAGAACTAAGCTTTGTAGAAAGCCCCACACTCGAACTTTCTGCACCTGGTCGGTCGAGGCCGTTATTTGCTGGAATATTCTGGATATTTCGGTGGAAAAAGCCTATATAAAGCCGTTGAAAGCCGCGATCGGGGCAGTATTGAATTGGCGATACGAGCGAAGCCTTCGGAGCGAAATAAAGTTTTTCAATCGGCAGTTTTTATTGTCACGAACCCTTAGCTCGTAACAGTATGAATGGGTCGGCTTGACTTTGGAAGGACCACGTTCTCATAGGATATCAGCGTGAAATAGCGGCTGAATGTTGCTGTTTTTTTATGGTGAGTGTAGAAAATCGGAGATCTTTTCTACTGAAAATTAGTCGTTCCATTTTAGTCCTCAAGCGTTACAACGCATCTGCATTTTAATTCTTAACATAGTATAATTTGTAGGTGTTTATTGGCCACAACCTTTCTTACATGGAGTATAGAGATAAGGAGGACAATCTCCCATAGGAGAATAGTTGAAAATGTGTCCATCTGTAAGCAGTAAATAACAGTTCAAAAACTCTCCAACACAGCGCTCGAGTAGCTACAGGGCGTGAAAAATCGCCGTAAAATACTTTGAGAGTGATTTTGAAAGCAATAAAATAGTTATTGTAAAAAGTACTATGGTAAAAGTCCGTGCAATAAAAAATTATAAAAACTTCTTTAAAATTTAGACTGTGTGATTATGACAATGGCGCCACTCTTATTTAACGATTTCCTACGGACACTTCTTTATACAGAGTCTGTACTGCTTACCTCTACACTCCATACTTTCTTATTATCAGGTGAGCTGTGCTCTTTGTCATCCTATTCTATAGAGAAAGAAATGTTAATTTCCTCAATTTCCGTGGATCATTTTTTATTATTGAAGTTAAAACTTCTTTAGCGGCGTTGTACACTTTTTTTTGTAATGGAGAAAAAATGTTAAACCCGCGTCAGGACACGTGACCTGATCGAAAATGCGTAAGACGGATGGTGTAGGAGAGGAAGTATCCCCCTTTTCCCTCTTTCTACGGCGCGACGAAAATGTATGCCTGCGCCTGTTGTTTCGTTTAGGCGGCGCAGGACGCTTGTGCGAATGTAATATTGTCGTGTAATAGCTGTGTAATTAAAGCAATTCGTGCAAAATTATTCCCTAACCATTCCAAAATATCAAAAATGCACAAGGTTAATATTCAAGTTTTCACTTCTGCCGGCACTCCCAGAATGCAACCCGTTGTTTTTTATAGCATTACTGAATAGAATCATACTACGATAAAGTTCGTTCAAAGCACGTTCATAGGTCGGACAGTGTTTTCTTACATTTTGAATACGTATGTACGGTGCAGGTGAGGGTCCGTGGTCGGCGGTGGCGCTGGCGGCTCTGGGTCGCAACGTGCCGGCGCTGGAGCTGCTACTGGCGGCCGGCGCCGCGGACCCTGGCTGCAGGGCGCTCGCACTCTGCGCCAAGCACTCGCTCGCCGAGCCGCTCGCCGCGCTGCTCGCCACCAAGGTCACCACACCTAACCACACACAAATATAAATATATTTTTGTTCCAACTTGCCTGCCAAGCGTGGCAGCTATGGCGAAATTCCTGCTTATGCGGCCATCAATAAGGGTGGACATAGTCTGTTCAGTGGTGGACATTTGATAGACTGCAATGGTAATATTTATTATTATTCTAAGTCAGCGCTTAACTACAACCGACCTGATGGTAAGTGGTGATGTAGCCTAAGATGGTGAAGGGCACAGACTTAACAAAAACCTATCCACTCTTACCTTGAAGACACCACCACTGTACTTGAATGGAAAGATAGATGCTGGCAACTTATTCCACTCCTTTGCTGTACGTATGACGAACGACGTAGCAAACCGTTTGGTTCGAATGCGTGGTTAGTTAACAACGAAAGGGTTAGTTAACAACGAACGTCTGGTTGTCCGATGGTGGAAGGGAGAGGGGGGAATTAAATTATGCAATTCCTGCGCACACTCCCCGAAATGCATCCTGTAGAAGACCAAAATGCTGCCTACTTTGCGCCTGTGTTCGAGGCTGGTATAATATACCGGGTGAGCTTTTTACCGTCTGGAAATATTGTATGTGACATGTGAACGGAGTAGAAGCCAATGGCACTGAATTTTACAAAGAACAAAAACAAAATTTTGAATTAAATAAATAATAAATTAAAATTGGAACACTTCATGAACCGCAATAAAACAGTAAATTTAATAGGTATCTTTGCCTTGTACCTTCGCAGGGTCACAGGCTTAAGGGCAAAGGGCAAAGTAATTGTTCCAAATAAAATTTTGCAAACGTTTAATTCAAAAGAAAATATTTTTTTTTTAAAAATAAATGATCATATTTTCAAACTTTAACTCTTATAGGTATAAATCTTGGCCAGAATATTATTTTTGTAATTGCTTGAATGGGTCCTCAAATGGTTTGGATTCACGATTATATCCGGTAGATGTCGCTGTTGTCGATATCCAGAAATCACCCGAGCGAAGTCGCGACTGATCACTAGTATAGTATATACCTTCAGTTGGTCTGGCATTTCCATACTATAATACACAATAGAATGGATGTCAACTTTACTTTGTACGAGGTTTGGCGTCGCCAAACCCGATTCGCTGTGTTCACAAACTGAATAAATTTACACATTTTAGACTTTTGATTAATGTTCAAGGTCATCATTAAAAAAATCGTCTAAATTTTAATACATATTTATTTGTAAAGGTCGCTCAGCGAGCTATGGAGAGGGCTATGCTCGGAGTTTCTCTGCGTGATAGACTCAGAAATGAGGATATCCGCAGTAAAACCAGAGTGACCGACATATCCCAACGGATTAGTAAGCTGAAGTGGCAATGGGCCGGCCATATAGCTCGAAGAACCGATAACCGATGGGGAAGAAAGGTTCTCGAGTGGCAGCCTCGTACCGGTAGGCGTAGTGTAGGGCGACCCCCCACTAGATGGAGTGACGAACTGGTAAGATATGCAGGAAGTCGATGGATGCAGGTGGCTCAGGACCGTGCTTTGTGGCATTACTTGGGGGAGGCCTATGTTCAGCAGCGGACTTGTGAAGGGCTGTAATAATGAATGATGAATGATGATTTGTAAATAGCGTGCAATTTGGTATTTTCTAAATAATTTGCATGCGAAATTTGGAAACGATTGTAACGTCAAAACACATCTCGTGTTGACATTTATACGTGTGAATTGACATGTCAGTGACATTTTAGTGGCTGCGCGGGCTCCGCCCACTCCCCCGTTCTATTATGTATGTATTATAGTATTCTATGGGCATTTCCATAGGTCGTCGTTTACGATTCTTGACATTGGGTTGTGAATTATCTTACGATTTCAATTAAAAACCGTCTTTTTTGAAGTCGATCATGATATTGACAGGCGTACCCGGACCCGGACTACAAATTGAACAAGTCATCGATGAGCGAGTCCGTGCTGAACGCCCGCGACGTGGACTCATCGCTGTCGTACAGCGCTCGCTGTCCCGCCACGCCTGTCATGATCAACTGGAGGGAGCTCCGCTGCCAGCTGTCTGCCATCAAGTAGGTCCCACCACACCACCACCACCACCGCACTACTGCTACAACATACGTGCTTACAATATTACTGAACTACGAGCTGTTGGTCCAGCTTTTGCACACTTGCGACCGACTCCAAAGTATTTTAGAAAATAAAAATTAAACCTTAAGTATGTATGATTTTTAATTGAGAACATGGGTGATAATCTCTATACAAATATTTCTAGCCTAATGTCTGTGGTTGATTCTGAAATACGTATGATTTCATTACATTATGCATATACACTGGTGAAAATAGGAGTCCTCTACAGGCATTTTATTAGGAAGATGCTGCTTCCCATCTCTTTTATTTCCCTCTGTCGTCTCTAACAACATCCACGGAGTGAATTGTGTATGCGGACATGAGTGTATTCAGATGGTGGATTCGAAGCCACGACGTATTGAGTATGGACGCAACAGACCTCTGCTTCTGCATACGCAACTGCGGAAGTTATGCATCATGAAGGTTAGAGAACAGGAGAACGATCACTACGTACTAAAGCATAGCCCGCCTGTCCTTGAAAATTGTAGAATGTATAGCGGCGCTGACGTCGGTGAGCAGTGACTGCGAAGTTAGCTGTTTATGAGTACAAGAAGGTGAAGTTAGTTGAATAATGTGCAAATTTTCATTACATTTTTAATGAGAAAATTTTCATGCTCCGTAATTTTGTAATTTTTGACAAAAATAAACATTAAAAAATAGAGAAATATTTTATTGTACGTGGATGTGCAAGAAAAATAGACTGCAAATTACTTTTATCGACCGAACTTAGCTATCGCAGCGCCTCACTTATGGTGTCCATATTTCTGGAACACTATTTTCTACGGCGATCGTTCTCCTGTTCTCTAAGCTTCATGTTATGCGCGCTTTTTGACATCCGTTTCTGCTTCTGTTTCCGCAACTTTTATAACAGGAATTTGATCGAAACTTTGATGACGCCATACCTTTCCCCAAAAACCCAAGAAGTCCAACCTCGTCATCACATGATGAATTCATCATTACAAACGCTAAATCGGTGTTGCACTAACAAGACTTAAGCTCTCTCTTTTATAGACATAATCCACCTTCAGTAGTATGTGGCGGAAATGAAATGCGAACAAATATCATAATCTTTTGCCGTTAGTCTGCCAATATTTATCAACTCCTCCAAGCATTTTCACCAATGAGCAATTATTTAGCGAAGCTGTCCTTATCCATGAAGAAAACCGAAACAGATTTCTAGATGTAAAAGCGGCCATACTACTTTTAATAAAATATAACTTACCGCTACTTAATTTTAAATGTTAATTTAATAAAATATTATATTTGTCATAAATTGTAGTTTTTACAAAGTATTTACACTTCCGCTTCTGCATCCGTTTCCGTTTCTGATTCCGCTTTTACTTTTGAGTTCTGTTTCCGCTTCTGCTTCCGTTATGACACTTCCGTTGCATCAGTAGAACTCTTTACTCATAAGAGTTCATATGTGCAATAAATACTGTTAATTCTATACAAAAAATATAAAACTTATCCGAGCAATTCATGGCGCAGGATGAACTGGCTACGTACTGCTGCACTCCGTGTGAACCCGAAGCTCAGCGCTTCTGGTGGTGGAGCTCTGTTAGCCCTGACGAGGATCGAACTGGCCAACAACGAGCTGCGAGAACTGCCCAGGGAGCTGTTCTCACTGATAAGTTTGCGGTGAGTTATTTTTCTAATTCTAAAGGAATGACTCGGTTATGATGAGTGGATTATGTAATGGATATGACTTTACTAGCATTATATAAAAGGAAAAAGTAGATTAATGTGCCAAAGTTATAGTAACGATTTCAAAAAGAAGTCATTGAAAAAGACTTTGAATGAAATAATAACGCAAAAATATGCTTTATTTTGGCGGTTCTATTAAAATCTAAGTCTAATCTAATTAAAACTATTGACAATCTAATCGGTGCGGGCAGGATCAAACCCTGGTTGCTCGCACACTATGAAATTTACATTTTTTATACGTGGTAGAGCCACGCTGTAGCTATAATATGGTGTAGCATGAAAGGTTCGGCTTGACCGGGGAAGCACCACGCTCTCACAGAATACCAGCGTAAAATAGTAGCTTAATGCTGCTGTGTTTCGTATGGTGAGTGTAGAGAACCGGAGACCCTTTTTTACTGGAAACGAGGCATTTCATCTTAGTCATCAGGGGCGACAACGCATCTGAATTTTGATTCTTAATCGAGGTTAAATGTGGAAGTCTATGGGCCACAGCATCCACTTACCATCAGGTAGACTGTGTGCTCGTTTTTGACCTTAATTTTATTTAAAAATAAATCGAGAAATAAGTCCCTAAAGCTAAGCTACACCACCGCTAGTTTTATAATACGAGGGTGGATTGAAAAGTACTCGGCCTAACACAGATACATTCAATTCTAAAAATCAAATCTACCCACATTATTTAGTTCAGTTCAGACTAGTTCATTGTGTGAAGTTCGAAACGTGTGCGATAATTAGTTGTGATTTTATAAATTTATTAACAAAGTAATCGGACATAATTTCCGCGAATGGAGCAAATCGAGCAGCGTGCCGTCATTAAGTACCTCCATAATAAGGGGCTATCATCAAAAGCCATCCATGATGACATGGTCAGTACATTAGGCGATTGTGCTCTGTCATATTCATCCGTCAAAAAATGGATAGCAGAATTTAAGCGTGGTAGAGAGAGTGTGAAAGATGAACCCCGCTCTGGAAGGCCTTCGACGTCAACTACTGACGAAAATATTAAAAAAAGTACTTGATTTAATAATGGGCGACCGCAGATTAAAAATTAGAGAGATAGCCGAGATTATAGGCATCTCTTATGAACGAACTCAAAACATCATTGTCAACGAGTTGGGTTTCCACAAGGTGTCTGCGAGGTGGGTTCCGCGACTGCTTTCAGTTGAACAAAAAAGGACGCGATTGACTATTTCACGCGACTGTTTGGAGTTATTTGAAGCCGATGCAGATGATTTTTTGAATAGTTTTGTTACTATGGACGAAACATGGGTTCATTACTGTACACCGGAAACAAAACAACAATCAAAACAGTGGAGAAGACCTGGTTCACCACCCCCTAAAAAAGGCTAAGTCGATTTTGTCGGCAAATAAGGTGATGGCTTCAGTATTCTGGGACTCGAAAGGTGTGATTATGATTGATTATCTTGAAAGGAGTCAGACTATAAACTCTGATTACTACTGCACCTTACTACGTCGTTTACGAGAGGAAATAAAAAAACGTCGAGGAATGCTCAGAAGAAAAGTCCTGTTTCATCAAGATAACGCCCGTGTTCACACGTCAGTACAGTCAATGGCTGAAATTCACAACTGTGGCTTTGAACTGTTACCGCATCCGCCGTATTCACCTGATCTGGCACCATCAGACTTCTTTCTGTTCCCTAACCTAAAAAAGCACTTGGGAGGTCAAAGATTTTCGACAAACGACGAGGTCAAAGCAGCTGTAGACGCATATTTTGACTCTAAGGAAGAATCATTTTTTTCAACGGTCTAAATGCTTGGAAGGGGAGGTGGCAAAAGTGTATTGAACTTGATGGTGATTATGTAGAAAAATAAAAATATAACTGATTTAGTATGTGTTTATTTTCTTGGTTAGGCCGAGTACTTTTCAATCCACCCTCGTATATATATATATATATATATAACTATAACAAAAATATATATATATATATATATATATATATATATATATATATATATATATATTACTTTTATATTCAGCATAAACTGGAGAAGAACAGTAATGATGTTGATAACGCTTGCTGACTTGCATCAGGTACTTGAATGCGGCTCAAAACAAACTGGAGCGCTTGCCAACCACCGCAGACCCACTCGAGGAGGAGTTGGAGAGGAGCAGACGCGTCAAGAGACCGGCGAAGGCTTCAGCGGAAGTTTACACCGCGCCTGTCTTGCAGGAGTTATATTTACAGGTATATTTGATCTAGGATGCATGCTAAAAACTACATACATTTTATTTTCGTTAGGAAAACATATAATTATAACTATATAAGTAAACTATAACATTTTTAAATCTAATCACAATCTTTTATATATACAATTTTGCATATTATATTTAAATATTTGTTTTCTAATATAGTACACATACATAAACACTCACGCCTGTCACCCAGAGGGTAGGCACGGACTACAGACTTCCATTTGGCACGATACTGACACACCTCTCTCGCCTCCTTCACATCCATACACCTACGCATACATGCTCGTCGGTTAAGGGTACTCCTAATTTGGCCCGTTTTCAATAAATCGCCAATTTGGTCGATAAATTTTCGCCTAGGACGTCCCTTTCCGACTCTGCCATTCACTTCTGCAACATAAATTTTCTTTGTCACTCTTTCCTCATTCATTCCTTCCACATGACCAAACTACCGAAGCATTTCTTTCTTAATCCTGGTCACAACATCATCTTGCAAATCACACTCTTCTCTTATTACACAATTTCTTATCCTGTCGATAAGATTCAGCCCTAACATACTCCTTAAGGACCGCATTTCTACTGCGTTGAATCTACTCTCGTGCTTCTTCTGCCACACCCAACTTTCACTACCATACGTAAAAGTAGGGACCAACACAGCATTGTGAATTGCCACACGAGCCTTTTTTGACACATTTTGACACTTCACAATAGAGTGCAGGGCCCCATTTACTCTATTTCCCGCATTCACTCGTCGTTCTATATCCTTATCATATCTCCCATCCCTGCTAAATACGCAGCCCAAATATACAAACTCATCTACTTGCTCGATCAACTTCCCTTCTATTCTTATTTCACAAATCGTTTTACTTCCTTCTCTTTCAAAAACCATAAGGTTCGTCTTACTTGCGTTCACTTTCATACCCCTTTCCTTTAATGAGCTGTTCGTTAATGTAACCATCATTTGCAACTCGGCCGCCGACGACGCAAGAATAACTTGATCATCGGCGTACAAAAGGCATTTGACGGTTAACTCACCCATTCTTAATCCGCATTCTTCAACTTTCAAATTTTGCAAACAACTGTCCATAAATAGGTTGAACAGCCACGGGGAAGCCACACAGCCCTGTCTGACACCTTTATGGATGCCAAACCAGTCCGAGTAGACCCCGTTGATCCTAACACAAGCACTAGAGTCCCTATAAAGCGACTCCAATGCCTGTATCAAGCCAGCGTTCAACCCAAATGAGTTCAGTGTTTGCCATAGCACATCCCTATCCACTCTGTCATAGGCATTTTCCAAGTCCATGAACGAAAAACCTTTTGGTTTTTGGCCAAAAACTTCTCAGCAATCATGCGCACAGAAAAGACTTGATCTGTACATCCCATTCCCTTTCTAAATCTCGCTTGCACATCACAAATGTTTCCATTAGTTTCTTTCATGACCCTTTCAATCAGTACCTTAGCATACAGTTTTCCCACAATGCTAAGAAGGCTGATGCCACGATAATTTTTACAGTCCTGCTGCGACCCTCTTCCTTTATATACTGGGACTATCACGGTTTTACACCAGTCTACCGGTACCCGCTTCAGTTCCCAGCATAAATTAAACAAGGTGTGCAGCAGGCCTGACACCACTTCCTCTAATATAGTAATAATCAAATATATATAGCCCCCCCCCCCCCCCCCTACTGGATGGAAGTACGACTTGGTGCGGTATTACTACTTGGTGCAGTATGACCTTAATAATGTCTTCCAACGGATAGGTCTTAAGATGAACATGGACAAAACAAAGATCATGTTTAATGTCCATGTCACACCTATGCCGGTAGTTGTTGGGAGCACTATGCTCGAAGTTGTTGACGAGTACGTTTACCTGGGACAAATAGTCCGACTAGGTAAGTCCAACTTCGACCGAGAGGTCAATCGACAGATTCAACTCGACTGGGCAGCGATCGGGAAATTACGACACATATTCCCATCAGGTATACTTCATACCCTGAAAACTAGATTGTACAACCAGTGCGTATTGCCAGTGATGACTTATGCGTCTGAGACGTGGTCCTTCACGTCTAGCCGTATGAGGACGCTCGAGGTCTTTCAGCGAGTTATGCAGAGGGCTATGCTCGGAGTTTCTCTGCGTGATAGACTCAGAAATGAGGATATCCGCAGTAAAACCAGAGTGACCGACATAGCCCAACGGATTAGTAAGCTGAAGTGGCAATGGGCCGGCCATATAGCTCGAAGAACCGATAACCGATGGGGAAGAAAGGTTCTCGAGTGGCAGCCTCGTACCGGTAGGCGTAGTGTAGGGCGATCTCGATCTTTCAGCGAGTTATGCAGAGGGCTATGCTCGGGGTCTCTCTACGTGATAAACTTAGAAAACCCAAGAATCTTTTACGCCGTAATATAATTAATGAAAACGTTTTTCCAGGACAATCGTCTGGAAGAACTGCCTCCAGAGCTATTTTCTCTACCTTCCCTGACGAGTTTGGACGTGTCGAATAACAAGTTGCGCGCGCTGCCCCCTCAAATGTGGAGCGCGGCCTGCCTCCGCGACCTGAACGTGGCTCTCAACCATCTCCGGGAGTTGCCGGCCAGCTGTGGACACAAGGTAGGTTTAACGAAGGAAACTCGTGTTAATTTTTTTGTCAAGGAGAAAAGGATGTTGGTATACTTCGCTTTGTCTCTTTCACATTTACTAGTTTCTTCCTTTTCTTCACTAGCCTGTAAAGTTCTCCTGTTGGACATGAGTTTGTACCGTGGTAGACCGAAAAAAGATCAAATTCCTTGCTTATAATATTTTATTTTATTTCATAGAATATGGGCGACAAACGAGCACACAATCAGATGGAAAGTGGATGCTGTGACCCATACACATCTACATCTATCAATACTTAAGAATCAAAATGCAGAGGCGTTGTTACCCCTGAGGACTAAGATTTAATGCCTCGTTTCCAGTAAAAAAGGTCTCCGGCTCTCTACACTCACCAAGTGAAACACGGTAGCATTAAGCTGCTATTTCACGCTGGTATTCTGTGAGAGAGAGATTTTTGTGTTGCTTTTTTTCAAGCCTTAAAAACACACGAAGTTGATTAGTATGTATGTATTTATGTATTTATATATGTATGTTTGTATGTATGTATGTATGTGATCGTTTACTGCCATGTTGATCTAGGGCTCGTAAATGCAGTTGCTAATCATGATGTCGTGGGTTCGAATCCTGGGTCGGGCCAAAACCATTTAGTTTGTTTTACTTACTTACTTATCTTCACCCACAATCCCTAACGGGGTAGCCAGAGAGAACAGATCGCCAAGTGTCACGATCCTTACATAGCTCTTTCGCTTCTTTCAGGTTCATTAACTTCTTCATACATGCACGTCTAGGTATCCGAGTACTCTTGACCCTCCCCTCTTCGAGCAATTTGCTCACATGGTCTTCGAAAGTTAGTCTCGGTCTACCTCGACACCTTTTAATATTTACTTTCGCTCTATATATTTTCTTCACCATTCGGTCTTCACTCATTCGTTCAACGTGCCCAAACCATTGGAGTTATTGGAGTTAATGGGTGCGTTTGACAGAAAAAAGCGCTAGCAAGCGCTTGTAAGCAAAATGGCGATCGTAAGCGGTAAGCGCTGTCAAATCGTAAGTAGCTATTTTCCTCCAGGACACGATGTTAGTTTTAACCGGGGAACCTAACCTAATTTAAATATATGTTTGTAAAGTATTTATATAATAATTAAAAAACTTACCGATCATGAATTTTTAATAACATGTATATGTATATTCATGTCATTATATTACTTAAAACTATATTGCACAAAACAACTTGTAAACTTTACTTCAAAACAAACAAATTAAATAAGCAAAATGGCGGATTGTGTCAGCGCTACTGAAGTAGCAATCGTGTCCTGGCCGAAAATTATTTCAGCGCTTATAAGCGCTTGCTAGCGCTTTTTTCTGCCAAACGCACCCATTAGTTTGTTTTCTGTCAAGTAATTCTCAGTAGCAGCCCGAAGTCGGTCAGCTGGCTGCATCTCAACCCCGTGCCTCGGAAAGCACGAAAAGTCGTTGACCTTGCGTCTAATTTCTCTCCGGTCGTGTTGTTTTGCAGTACCGTTACACTAGTAGAGAGTGAGGGAATAGAGAGTGTATCTGTGCTTGCGCACATACCTGTCCATATATAGCCTGTCCTGCACAGATGGGTTATCTATGTTGAGACTGGCCACCGTGACCGAAATTCGGTCTTGAAGGACATTATTATTTGGTCTTCGACCAGTGCCTAGCCTGTCGCTTAAAGCAAATCCTCTATAAACATAGATCGAGACCATTTGTAGAGTTTTTGCGAAGTAATAGGATTTTGTCCAATACCATCCCATCCACAGGTGCAGCACAGCAGCGCGTCTGCAGTTCAGCTCTCGTCGCCATCAGACGTGTCTCCGCAGCTTAGCGCTTCGCCCTCGGTCAACAGCGGCCAATTCGCATTCGCCGCGCAGTCCGTAAGTCAAGTCAAACATTTCTATGAGACTGATGTTTATTTATCTACCTCAAATAAAAAAAAATCAGCGTGAAGTTCACAGGCGGTGGAAATGAAACCATGAAATGAAATGAAATTTTAAATAAAAATATTTTACGGCAAATTATTACGACAAATAATTTTCAATCATAATTGCGGCATAAAATATTAGATAAAAGTTTGATTTAAGTGATAAAAGCTAAATGTTCGATGAAATCTTAAGAATATTTTAGCGCCATCTACTTTGTTCTAAAGGTAAAGTCGTTTTATTGAATAAAAATTTATTGACTCTAAAAATAGACGCCAGTTGCTTAAAGTAAGTGAAATCATGGATCGTTATGAATGGATTGGATACGATAAATGTTATTCAATATTGATAAGAGCCCTCTTACATTTCGACGTTACACAAATTTAGGTATTTTACGTACCGAGCGGGCGACGAACTACGCGAGCGACGCTTTATTTCATATCTATTCACTCTCTCGCACTATGATACTGTGAATAAGCATACATAAGCATAAAAAAAAAGAAAAAAAAAAAGGTATCAATAAAGGCGACTAAACGAAGCATAATGATAAATTATTAGTAAGACACATTATATTTAAAAAATTACAAAAAAAATAATCTTCATCTTCCATTAAACAAGTTTTCTTAGGTTGGAGTTAAGTGGATAGAAAACGTTTTGGTGTGTCATTTTTATGTTATCTAATTAAGTTATTATAATCTATTTGATTTTTATTTCATTATTTATGAACCTTGGTGGTAAAATAAAACACATACATATTTTAATAATTACGCAGTTTTGTAATACATGTATAAATTTGTTATTTATTTAACTATTTATTTTAACAGTTACAAGTAAACCATCTTTAAAGCAGAACAAGAGATAGAAAGAGGAGTCCGAGATAATAGGAAATACTGTATACTGTATTCTATCTCATTCTCTCGCAGGCTAAATCATATATGTTTGTCTCTTTTTAGTGTCGCTTTTTCGTTTCGTCGAGTTTCAAATTCACAATGATTCTAAAAAGTATTACACTTCAATAACTACTATTTTTCAGCAGACATACTCTGCTACAGAATTATTATTTTCTTAATGCAGTGAGACGTTGGAAGCAGTAAACTCAGGACCGTGCTTTGCAGCATTCTTTGTTGGAGGCCTATGTTTACCAGTGAACTTTTGAAGAGCTGCAATGATGATGATAATATCTTATAACCATAAAATATAAGATGTGAATATACAGGGTTCAAAGAGACACGATCTCTATGATTCCATCGGTAATCAGTAGAGAGAGCGGTGCATTGCAAAACGGATTTTATGTCTTTCCCACTACTCCCCTTGCGTCTCCACCATGACTACGGGGAGAAATGGGAAGGGAAACCTATCAAGTAGTCCTCCAACATGCATCCGGAGTGGGATTCCCTTGCAAGCCATTTGGGTTCGGGGACCAAGTTATGGCTACCAACTCCTCCTTTACAACAAGGCGGGTTCCTTTACAACAACCTGTAGGGAGGGGAATAGCTTATACTCTGAGCCACTTTCCATCCCTGAGTTCCTGACCGATGAAAATAATATCAAGTTTTTCGTTTTACTTTTTTATAATTAATTGTAAACTTTGCTGTTGTTCCTCGATTTAGAAGTCATCGTCACGGAGTCCATCTATCGACGGAAGTGAGTGCTCGCCCGATGATGATGATGAGATACTGGTGATCGGAAACCGAGCCGGAAATGCAGTGTAAGTAAAAAACGACATTAGATATCGTTTTCCTAATTGTATTTTGCTTATTGTATTGCTCCGGTGTCCGTGCGATGTAAGAAGAATATCTACTACCCTATATCATCTCTGTCATATAACAGGCGCCAGAAAAAAACAAACCAGGAGATCGGCAGCAGCGTATTTCTAATAACAACATAACATAAAAATTTCCGGTCTAAAACCACGTGGGAACCATAGAATACTATAATACATACGAGTACATAATAGAACGGGGGAATGAGCGGAGCTCGTGTAGCCACTAAAATGTCACTGACGAGTCAATTCACACGTACAAATGTCAACACGAGATGTGTTTTGACATGTGTGTTAACGTCAAAACGTTACAATAGTTTCCAAGTTTCGCATGCAAATTATTTTAAAAATACCAAATTGCACACTATTTACATATAAATAAGTATTAAATTTTAAACAATTTTTTTAATTATGATTTTGAATATTTATCAAAAGTCTAAAATGTTTAAATTTACTCATTCTATCAAAACAGCGAATCGGGTTTGTAGTAGACGTAACGTAAACGTAGACGTAATTGCTTGTATGTGTGCTCCCGGCGACGCTTATCGTCGTATAAAACAAGGTTGACAGCCATTCTATTGTATATTATAGTATTCTATGGTTGGGAACTATAGGCCCTATGAGAATCTAATCTCTAATTATCACAGGTGGCAGTACTCACCAGTGCTCTCGCGGTTTTAAAGAAGGAGACATAGTATATAGCTTTCTCTTTCTATCACAGGTGGTCGGAAGCTCGCCGCATGCACGCGTGGCGCGGCGCTCTCGCGGTGTCGAAGAGGGAGACATACTATGAAGGGCTATATAGCTTTCTCTTTCTATCACAGGTGTTCGGAAGCACGACGCATGCACGCGTGGCGCGGCGCTCTCGCGGTGTCGAAGAGGGAGACATACTATGCAGGGATATATAGCTATCTCTGTCTATCACAGGTGGTCGGATGTTCGGCGTACGCACGCGTGTCGCGGCGCTCTCGCGTTGTCGAAGAGGGAGACATAGTATGCCGGGCTGTATAGCTTTCTCTTTCTGTCACAGGTGGTCGGAAGCTCGACGCGCGCATGCGTGGCGCGGCACTCTCGCGGCCTCACCGCCGCCGCGACGCGCGTCCGCCGCGACGGCTTGGGCGGCGGCGCTCGCGTCGCTCAACCTGTCGCACAACCAGTTCACCAACGTGCCGCCGCCGCTCGCCTGCCTCGCGCCCGCGCTCACCAGGCTCAACATGGCCTACAACTCGCTCAGGTGAGATAACTTACATATGCCTACCGATCTTGCATACCGTCCAACCCGCGTACCATTACGAACGTACCTACCATAAAGCACGGCCTGCTAAGGAAATAGCAGCACGTCTTTAAACGTGACTCAATTTACTCAACATAATATTAAAACCAAGGTTTAAATGTTAAGATCATCCATTATTTCTGTGAACATACATTTTCACAGTAGTTATCTTCTAAGTTAGAAAATAAAAGTAATATAGGAAAAAGTATTCGTCTAATTTCACATCGTCCCTAAGTTGCCGCAAACGTAAGTGGTGTGATGTAGTACGCACGATATTTGTTAGTTAATTTAGTACGATAATCTGATTGCAGACCTAGGTAAATCTACTTTTTCAGAGTTTTCATATCATTTTATCTCATTCAATTCGTTCCTTTCATTAATTTCGTTCTTTTCATTAATTTCGTTCATTTCATCCATTTTATTCATTTCATTCATTTCGTTCAATTCATTTATTTCGTTCATTTCTTTCATTTTATTTGATACCTCTAACAATGCATGGTAACCTTGCGAGTATCCACGTATTATTGATTAATTACTGATTTTGCCCTACTACTTCTAGAAACTGGTAGAAAATACTGGTAGAAAATCCTAGCCCAAAAGGCGGTTGTTGTCAACCACCTTTTGGGCTAGGATTTTCTACCCTCTCCTCTAAATGCTTTATCTAGCAAGAAGAAAATGTGCGACATTTACTTTGAAACGGTTTTGCTTATTAACAAGAAATAAAGGAACTAAATAAAATTTCACCGAATAAAAATCCAGTTCAATAACATGCCTTTCATATTATCGGATAATATCAAACGGTAATCGCTTTAAACAAATCTAGAACTCAAACGTAAAAGATTTTTTCCCGGTGATTGTATAATTTTTGTATGTCTATTAATATAAAGTATTTCAAAAATCATTTCAAGTATGCGTATATTTTTTCCGAGCACATACTATTTTAAGAAGTATCAACACTAACGCGTCATTTTTTTATTTATTTAAAAAAACCAACAGCGATTTAACAATTTTAAGGACTTAAAGTATACAGCTTAAATGTAAGGCCTATTAAAGGTTTTTTCAGTTATATAAACAAAATATATTATGGACGGTACAATTTAACTATTCTTTGGATTTATTACAATATGTATGTACTAATATAATTATATATATATATATATATATATATATATATATATATATATATATATATATATATATATATATATGTTCACAGATATGTAACTAAATGTTTATACTAATTACACTTTTGTATATGTGTATGTAGAAGTAATATTTGTTTAATTTATTTCTCCGCAAAACTTTTACATGCAGCCAGTGCATAACACTCTTTTATGTAATTTAATTTAATGAAATATAAAATATCACACCTGTTTATTTATTTGTGTGTGTTAATGTGTTTTTTTTTTCTCATTCATAACAGCCTATCAAAGTTATACAAAATCGCACAATTTTACCGTGTAGTGGCGGTGTAAGGATATTTCACTACTAAGTATCGTCCTGTAGGTATAGAGATAGGGAATCAAACCAGGATATGAGCAGCAACGTCTTCCTTATAACAACTAGGAAATCATCATCATCAAAGTCCACCGCTGTACATACGCCTCATCCATAGATCGCCTTATATCAGAATCAGAATCAGAATTTTTATTTGCGTAAGAACATGGTATATAAAGGTGGTACATGTTAAAAAGGTGCACATGTCTCGCTATTACAAATAGCATGCAAAATTAATATTATTATCTTGTATAATCATAAAAATAATATCACAAAGTCTCATTACAATAAATTACATTGAATTAAAGATAAATTAAAATATATAATATAACATGAATAGTATTAGGGATTGATGTCAATAAAGTCTTTAATGTCATATATTTTTCTGTCAATGAGCCACTTAAATAATTTTGATTTAAATTGATTAATATTTAAATTTTTGATGTCATTAGGAATTATATTATATGTCGTTAAACACATTTTTAGGCAACTTTTATGGTATTTAGCTGACCTTGGGATAACGTCTAACACAAGTCTATTAGGATTTCGCTTCAATCTTGTGTTCATGTCACTTGCTTTCTTAAACAAATTGATATTTTTCTTCACGAAACAGCTTATTTCAAAAATATATAGTGCCGGCAGCGGAAGTATGTTGAGATTTGCAAAAACTGTTCTACAGGATATGCCAGGCGGTATTCCAGAGATAGCTCTAATACACTTTTTTTGAGCTATAAACGCCTTTTGTATATTTGTGCTATTTCCCCACATTATTATCCCGTAGCGCAAAATGGTCCCGTAGGGCAAAAAAATATATTTGCCATGATTGCCATGCTTGGCGCGTGGGTTGGCAAGCACAGTTTTTTATTACTTTGAAATATTATCGGAAACATGCTGCTCCCCATCTGTTTATTTTCCCCCTGTGATACGATCCTTTGAGTTTTGTTAGCGGAGGCCAATTTAATAAATTACAGTAAATTATTATAAATTCATAATATATATACTGGATGAAGGAACGGAGTAGAAGCCTATGGCACTGATATTTTACAAAAAATAAAAACAAACATTTTGAACTAAATAAATAAATAATTAAAATCTATTGAAATTCAAAACATCCACTCTAGCCTGTGACCCTGCGAAGTGACAAGGTCAAAGATGCCTACTAAATTTATTGTTTTATTGCCGTTCGTAAAGTAGGGTGAATATGATTTGAATTTAAAAAGATTTTTATAAGTTTTGTTATTTAATTCAAAACATTTGTTTTTATTTCTTGTAAAATATCAGTGCCGTAGGCTTCTAATCCGTTTATATGTTACATCCTATTTTTCCAGATGGTAAAAAAGGTCATATAGTATAACCTAATAACTTACACGATCCGCAGATCTATGTCGTACGTGACGTCGTATCCGACGAGCTTGCGACAGCTGGACCTCAGTCATAATGAGATAACTTGCTGGCCAAGTCTTCCACAAGTAAGTCACGATTTCTCATTCTACCTTACATATTTGAATATCGTGAATGTTCTATTTTAAGAGTGAAGCAGAAAGTTTTGAACTGATAACTTTTCTTATACTAAGCCACCAGTATCTCTTAATTATGTATTGTATTTACATAAACATTCAGTAAGTTTTTAAATGTTCTAATGTAAATTTCTGCAAACTTTGTTTATATTTTATTTTTTTGTTTATAAATGTTTATTGCACATAAAGTGGTACAGTTGGCGGATTAAATGCCTTTCGGCATTCTCTACCAGTCAACCACTAGCTAAGTAGAGAACCAGGTGCCATAAACACATGAGAATATCTTTTACACGTGTAGAGTCACGCTGCAACTGTATTATGGTTGTAGCACGAATGGGGCAGGACCACGCTCTCACAAAACACCAGCGTAAAATAGCAGCTTAACATTGCTGTGTTTCGTATGGTGAGTGTAGAGATCCGGAGACTCTTTTTTTTCTGGAAACGAGACATTCCATCTTAGTCTTCACGGGTGACAACGCATCTGCGTTTCGATTCTTAACCGAGGATAAATGTAGATAACTATAGGCCACAACATCCACTTACCATCAGATGGACTATGTGCTCGTTTGTCACCCATATTCTATAAAAAAGAAAAACGTGAAGATAAATATAAAATACAAACATAATAACATACATTTAAATACACTTATAAATACTTATTACTACAAATATACTAAATAATATACTCTTTACCTGATACCTTTACATTTTAAGCATACACATAAACATACATTGTACAAAATCAACTTAAATAATTTACAAAATCAAGCCATACATAAATAGAAATATTTATACTTTACTACGTTGCTCTGCTCTTTTTGACGACCCTGCCATGTCCTATTAAAAATCCTTAAATTCGCAAAAAAAAATGTGGTTCGCTCATGGGCAAAAAAACTATTCTATCCCTCAAGTTGGACCAAACTGCACACGGTGTGCAAATTTGATTAAAAGCGGTTAAGTAGTTAAGGAGTCCATCGCCGACAAACAACGTGACACGTAATTTATATATATTAAGATTTAAGTGATTGACATACAATAAATTATTGGTCTAGCTTTCATCTATAGAATGGAATAGAATAATTTTGAAGGAACTACTAACTGTGTGGGAGTTAAGTTACACGTATAACCGTCGACTCGACCGCAGAAGAACCATGGTCAGACATACTAATACCATCGCTAAAATAGCAACACAATGCGTAATATTTTTCAAACAGAATTTAATATACACCAGGTTGAAAGTTTCGGCTCAACGGAAGGCGATCCTCTGGCCTGCTATTGTCCCAATTCTTCACATAACAATAACAACAGACCGAGGCCTCGATCTGGAGGTTCCGTGAGGTCTCAGCTGCTGAGCGCAGCATGTCCAGCCAGGAGACATTTGAGATTGGAGGGACTGAGAACCTTGGTGAGTTCAGGTTGTCAATTTTTTATTCAGAACTTATTTTTATTTCAGTAAGAAGTGGAAGCGTCCATCTTCGTAATAGTTATAATTTTTGAGTGTAAAAAATATCATGTACTTACACCAAATGTTGCCAACTTTAATGCTATTGTTGCGCGCCTAAGTTGATGTCTGGTACCTGGCACTACCCATCTTGTGTCGGGGAACAGAGCGAGGAGAGCTTTCTACTCGTAGAAAATGCCATGCTGGAACTTTTCACCTTCAGCGCCATCTAGTATCGAATAGAATAACTAAGCTTTCTGGAAAACTCCACACTCGGTCTTCACAACTTTCTTCACAACTATCTCCACCTAATCGGTCAGGACCGGTATTTGCTGGAATATTCTAGAATTTTCGGTGGAAAAGGCCTATTTAAAGAGGTTAAAAGCCGCGATCGGGGCAGTATTGAATTGGCGAATTCGGAGTGAAATAAAGTGAACTAAAGTGTTAAGTGTGATTAATTATTAGTGTGTTTTAAGTTTTAATTGGTGTGCGGTAATTAAAGTGTCAATTTTGTAATTCAATCGGCAGTTTTTATTGTCACGAACCTTAAGCTCGTAACACTATTATTCACATCTAGTTTTTAAAAAAGAAATTACCTAGTGGTGGTGACGTATACAAGAATAAATGTATATAAGAATTCATATTAATTCATGCAATTTATCCCGTGGGTACCGTGAGAGACAACTTTGGGATAGGCCAAAAGGATCCTATGGCTTCCTATATATTGTGATACAACTATTTAGTTTACGCTGGGCGTAAAATATCTTACCGCCAACGGGCAGTAAGGTCAAACTATGTTACTGCGATTGATAATCCACTTGCCAAGCGTGCCAGTGCTTGTGCACTTCCACCTGGTGGGGAGTGGTGATAGAGCCCTAGAAAGTGTAACAAAAGCTCACTCTCCCTCGTCTTGAAGATATTCAGCTTGCAATCGGACGGAGACACGGACACTGGCAACTAACTTCACTCCCTTGCTGAACGCATTATAAAATACGAGGCAAATCGTTAAATTTGAATGCGTGGAATATCAAAAACAAAAAAGCGTAGCTGCTAACCGTCCGGTTGTCTCATGGTGAAAGAGGAGGGAGAATTAAGGCTTGTAATTTTTCCACACAGATTCTACGGAATTTATCTTATTATATATAGAGAGGCTTACTTCTCTTCACTTTTGATACAACAAACTTTACGCCCTTACTAAAAATACTAGGTTATCGCTAGCTTTACTTAAGTATTAATTATCCCTATCATCATTACAGTCACCTTTCACAAGTCACTGCTGAACATAGGACTCCCCTAGATATGCCACAAAGCACGGTCCTGAGCCACCTGCATCCATCGACTTCCTGCATGTCTTACCAGGTCGTCACTCCATCTAGTGGGGGGGGGGGGGGCATTGCCACTTCAGCTTATTAATTCGTTGGGCTATGTCGGTCACTCTGGTTCTACTGCGGATATCCTCATTTCTGAGATTATCACGCAGAGAAATCCCGAGTATAGCCCTCTCCATAGCTCGCTGAGCGATCTCATACGGCCAGCAGTGAAGGACCACGTCTCATATCTGTGTCATCATATGCCGGGTAGTGGCGTTTAACATCCACTACCCCATATCTTCCCGTGGGTGTCGTAAGAGGCGACAGAGGGAGACAGGCAGAAGATGGGCAGCAGCATCTTCCTGATAACAGCAACTGTACGACAAAAAAAAACTGCGGTTGCCAACCCGCTCGCCAAGCGTGGCAACTATGGCAATATTCCCTTTATGATTAATTATCCCTATACCTGTGTTTTCTAGTCATTACATAAAGAGAGAGAGAGAGAGAGAGAGAGAGAGAGAGAGAGAAAGAGAGGGAAAGATGGAGTGTCATATTTCTTAAATAGACGGCAGCTCTGTAACTAGAGCAGTAAATCTTTAACACTAATTATTTTATTTTATTTTAGATTCTAGCAAACAACTTGCTGACTCGCATCCAGTTGACGACAGACGACGATGGACTCGTGTCAACAGTCAACGATCAGTCGCATGATGAGGACGAGGAATGGGTTGGTTTCATTTTTTAATTACTTTCTACCTGTTTAGTAACTACCATCCGGTCCACAATCCACCTGGTAGTAAGTAACTATTACAGCTCGTTGACACTCGCAACTAACTTCTGACAAAGAACGCTGCACAAGGCTTACTCCTAAGGTCCGGTTTACATTTTGAAAAGTGACAAGTGCGAGTGGCAAATGCAACTGACAAATGACAAGTGCTTAGTGCGTATTTTATTCCCACTTATCACTTGTTACTGCCTGTTCACACGCAATGAACACTTGTCATTTGTCAGTTGCAATTGCCACTCGCACTCGTCACTTCTTAAAATGTTAATCGGCTCTAAGGACTTGTGACACACGTGTACAGTCATTACATAAAACGGGGGCACAAATTCACGTCTTACATGAGGTTCAACACACGTCATCAACACTTCCGATTTGAAAATTCCTTCTTAGAAGCGCTTGGTCCAGCATTTTTTTTATAAAAGTGAAATGACAAACAAACTTACGGACTGTATGTTGAGAGGCTATTTGACATAAGTCAGATGATTGAAATACATAGAAAGCTTTTTTTAAATAGGATAAGGATGACACACGAGCACCCAGTCCACCTGATGGTAAATGGTTGTCGTCATCAACACTTCCGATTTTATGATGATGACGATTATGATATTTATGATGATGATGATGATGACGAAGATGATGATACTTATTATGATGACGTTGATGTAAGTAATTATGGTGATGATGATGACGATGATGGTACTGATTATGATGATTGTGACGACGATGGTGATATTTATAATGATGTTGCTACTGATTATGGTGATGATGATGACGACGATGATGATACTGATTATAATGATGATGATAATGGTGACGATGATGATGATGATTATGATATTGATGACGATGATGATGATGACGAGGATGATGGTACTGATTATGATGATGATGACGACGATGATCGTACTAATTCTGGTGATGATGATGACGATTATGATATTTATGATGACGTTGATGACGAAGATGCTGATACTGATTTTGATGACGTTGATGTAAGTAATTATGGTAATGATGATGACGATGATAATACTGATGATGACGATGATTGTTCTGATTATGATGATTATGACGACGATGATGATACTGATAATGATGTTGGTACTGATTATGGTGATGATGTTGACGACGATGATGATACTGATTATAATGATGATGATAATGGTGACGATGATGATGACGATTATGATATTGATGACGATGATGATGATGACGAGGATGATGGTACTGATTATGATGATGATGACGACGATGATCGTACTAATTCTGGTGATGATGATGACGATGATGATACTGTTGATGACGTTGATAGTACTGATTATGGTGATGATGACGATGATGATTCTGATGATGACGATGATGGTACTGATGATGATGATGATGACGACGATGATGATTATGACGATGATGATAATGACGAAGATGATACTGATTATGATGATGATGATGATTACGATTACACATTCTATTAATTTTCCAGGGTTCCGGTTCAAACGTTAAGGAGCGACTGCTATTCCCGCTTCTGTCGATGTTGGACGTGTCTTGCAACATGTTAAAGGCCGTCCCGCCCGCTATACACGAACTGACCAACCTGTCCGTTCTCAATATTAGCGGCAACAAGGGTAAGGAGTTTGCCAGAGGATTTTTGAACATATTGCTCGACTTGTAGGTAATAATGATGTTCATGAGACCGGATTTTGGTCACGGCGGCCACTCTCAAGTCTCAACTAGCTATCGATGCAGGACAGGATTATAGTGCCCGAATTTATGCACGAGCACAGGTGAACTATCTATTCCTAAATCGGAGAGAGATCAGGCCGATTTTCCGACTTTGCAAAGCATGGGGGTGAAACACCGCCAACTCCCTGACTCCATTTAACTCGTAATGAGAATTTTTTTTATATAGAAGAGGGGGCAAACGAGCATGTGGCTCACCTGATGGTAAGTGACTACCGCCGCCCCTGAACAACCGCAACACCAGGGGAATTGCAGGTGCGTTGCCGGCCCTTTAGAAAGGAGTAAGCTCTTTTCTTGAAGGTCCCCAGGTCGTATCGGTCCGGAAAAATCGTCGGTGATAAACTATTCCACAGAGAGGTTGTACGTGGAAAAAAACTCCTTGTGAAACGTACTGTGGTGGACCGCCAAGCATCCAGATGGTGTGGATGGTATCGGGAGGTTAGCCGCGTAGTGCGTTCACGAAATTTGGCGGCTGGGATTAATCCGAACAATTCCTCAGAGCACTCTCCGTGGTATATGCGAAAGAAAATGCAAAGAGATGCAACATCTCTTCGCAGCGCCAGTGAATCGAGCCGATCGGAAAGCACTCGGTCGTCGACGATTCGAGCCGCTCTCATGGTATGCTTGGGTTTTGTTTTAATTTTAATAATTACAGGATCCCAAGCAGGTGGTAGAACCAAGCCTTTTTCTCTATTGAAATTAAAATGTATTTTATTTTCAATAGTCCCACGTATCATCCTTGGTAGGAATCAGTGTTCTTTCGCGAGGATTTGTGGTCTATCAAATCTGACGTAATGGCGGGGGCCGTCTAGGATATGATCACAAACTCGAAATATGAAACGTCGGGAATTAAAATTAAGTAAATTAAACGCAATAAAATCCGTTAAAGTATTTTTATTCAATGTGTATTTATCCCATAAATATAAGACATCATTATGTATATCATTATTTTAAGTAATCTCAATAAAAAGTAATGAACGTCATACCTTTAACCGTTATAACCCATAATTTATTTGGTCATGTAAGCCCTGCTCTTCTTAACGTTTAGAAACCATTAAAAACAAGATTTATTATTATAGATATAACAGAGCTACCCCCACAAATGGGCCTTCTTACCAGGCTCTGGAACCTGAACACTGTGGGATGTTCCCTCAACGAGCCCCTCCGTTCCATGGTGAGGGGATCCCGGTGCCGGAGTGTGGACGTGGTCGGCTACCTCCGCTCAGTGTTGCAAGAAGCTAAGCCTTACGCCAGGATGAAACTCATGCTTGTTGGCGTTCAGGTATGTCTACACTAGAAGAAATAGTAGGATTCGTTTATTTTTGCTATTTTCGTAGAATATTATAATGTTCATACGTGGTAGAGCCACGCTGCAGCTATTATGGTTGTAGGTTGTAGCACGAATGGGTTGGCTCGACCGGGGAAGATCCACGCTCTCTCACAGAACCCGTGAGGACTAAGATGGAATGCCTCGCTTCCAGTAGATAGGGTCTCCGGTTCTCTACACTCACTATACGAAACACAGCAGCATTAAGCTACTATTTAAGCTGGTATTCTGTGAGAGCGGATAGATGTAGATGTCTGTGGGTCACAGCATCCACTTAACATCAGCGGCCTGTGAATTCGTTTATCACTAAAAAAATCGTTCGTTTCGAAACGGCCTCTACCAATGTACCTACTCTGTGACACATTTTGACAGCAGCTTTGTTTTTAGGGTTCCGTAGTCAACTAGGAACCCTTATAGTTTCGCCATGTCTGTCTGTCCGTCTGCCCGTCCTCGCTTAATCTCTGTGACCGTTAGCACTAGAAAGCTGAAATTTGGTACCAATATGTGTATCAATCACGCCGACAAAATGGTAAAATAAAAATGGGAAAAAAATGTTTTATTAGGGTAGCCCCCCTATATGTAAAGTGGGAAGTGATTTTTTTTTTGAATTTCAACCCTAACGTGTGATATATTGTTGGAAAGGCATTTAAAAATGAATAGGGGTTTACTAAAATCATTTTTTGATAATGTCAATAATTTCGGAAATAATCGCCCCCCCTCTAACTTCTGAACCATAAGTTTAGAAAATATGAAAAAAATCTGAAAAGCAGAACTTTATAAAGACTTTCTAGGAAAATCATTTTGAACTTGGATGGAAACAACAGTACCCACTACCGGGAGCAGTTGTAGGAGCGCGGAGCGCTGCTGGAGCGCGAACATAATGGATACCCACCTTTAAACTCATAAGTGGGAACACTTATTGTGACGGACTGGAAACTACGGAACCCTACACTGAGCGTGACCCGAGACGCTCTTGGCCGGTTTTTTGTAATAATATTTTTTTTTATAATAATATAAAGACGGGCTCTTTGAAATTCCTCATTTACATAATATTATTTCGCGTGTTGCGGATTAAAGTTAATAAAAACAACGTTACTAACGTAACCGTTATCTTATCGTTTTTTAACGATATCGTTACGATAGAGATAACGTTATTTTTTTCCCATAACTAGTCTTCTCAAAAAGACAGGTGTCAGAATCGCATTCAGAGCGGCTAGACTTTACAGTATTGCTAAAAGAACTTGCATTCATCCTAGCGCGTATCACAAAGTTGTCATTTTCTCAAGATTTTGTTGTTACGTACTCATGGATACACTTTACAGGGCATCGGAAAAACTAGTCTGCTGGAGTGCCTGAGACAAGAATCCGCTATACAGCACCGGAGAAAACCGACAGACGTAGGTATCATCTAGTTTAGTGTTGATCATTGCTGGCTTGATCCATTGCAGTTAATATTTGCGTAAAAGATATCTTTTAAAATGTTTAAGGTGATACTTCGACAATTTGGTGGCTAAAATAGAATTTTACATATTTCTTTAATTTTTATAGATACAGATATAGTATATGTTTTTTGTGACTATATGATCTGGGATTGTATAAAAGGAAAACACGATATTATGTAATTCTCGATTGAAAAAAAATGCAAAGTAGACACTAATTAGTTACATTTCTCCATGATATCACAATATATTTACGAGTAAGTTCATGGAATTATTTTTAAAGCATTGTAAATAATCATATCTATATTCACATAAACCATTTTTCAATCCATAGCGAAGTTTAGTTAAAAACCTTAAAAATGTTGTTTTGCGCTCACGTAATTTATTTTCGAACGTGTGCTCGTATAGCTATCTCATATCGTACATGAAATCATTGCACCACTTACACACTCCCTCAGTCGTCCGTGAGCTTCATCTACAAAGGGCTAAGCTCCGCCCCCAAAACTACGATTAATTTTCAAGGTATTCTCTTAAGAACATTGAACACGGCGTTCCGTGGGTTTCGTAAGAGGTGACTGTGGTATATGTCAGGAATAGATTATAGTTTCGGACAGATGGCAGCTACTTAACCTGATATGGAGAACCAGCGTCGTTAAAGGTGCAAGACGGCATGGTCTGCGATCTTCAATCTTTTTTTAACATAGAATAAGGGTGACAACCGAGCATACAGTCTACCTTATTCTAATAATTAAACCTAATAAATTTATTAGATATGAAAAATAATTATATTTTTATATTATAATATAATAAAGCGGAAGAGGCTTTTTGTTTATTTAAACAGGCTAATTTCTGTACCTTCCTGTCCGATTTGAAAATTTATTTTTGTATACGATAGCCAGATCCACGAGGAATAGTAGATTTTTGTTAAGCAAGCCAGAAGAAAAAGCGCTCCCGAACTGCTTTATCAGCGTACAATGTTCTATAAAATTATTGATCTTTTACTTCATTAAAATAGGTCTAAGATACCATATGCTTATTTCTTTCTGAATGAGTTTCTTTATTAAGTTTCTAGAGCCTTTTATATACACAAAATTTTAAATTCTGAAATTTTAACACATATTTAAAAGAAAACAATTATATTTTTGGGAATATCAGTAGTATGGTTTTGTCCATTTCTAATCTAATTAATAGAAATAAAAACTGTTTTATTGAATATAGATTATAAATAATACTTATTGAAACTCACTCTTATGTTTAATTTTACCATTGGCTCGGAAAATACCTGTCCTGGGAAGAGCCAGCAAGAAATCCAGCGAGACATCTAAAGAGACAAGAATTTACAATCATTTATGTTACACAATTCAACACAAAACAAATTAGACATAGCTTAGTAACGATCACCTCATACGGAGGGGTTATTGGCAGCCATAAATTCCTTTAACTCGTTCTTTTATATGAACGTTAACTTAACTTGTTAAATGTCGTCATAAATCGACGCCATACTGGTGATTCGTTTCAAAACATTGGCCAGTATATGACATCATGCATTTGCGCCATATTGCAAACGTACACCGTAATTTGGCTCTGTCAAACATTAATTGAAATAAAAATTAACATAATTTAGTACAAGTAATTAACATCAATGAGTACAATTTATTTATTTTTATGTGAATAAATAAAAACATATTCTGGCATGCTTCATTCAGCGTACACACTATTAAAAATTGTTTTGATATGGCGGGATATCGGGCACAATATGGCGGCGGCATGCCAGTACAGTATGGTGACAATTAATGACGTCAGTATACTGGGTTCTATTTCTGAACACAGACAAGTAATATTTCAGAAACAATTAACTTCCCCCGCTATAAAATCTGTCAAATATTTCAACTCATTCGTAAGTGGCGCCGCCCACTGATGGCAAAAAAGTCGTGGATCCCTCGTTACCCCCTAACACGACAAGAAAACATCCACTAACGTCGATAACATAGATAATATACTAATATATAGGGCATAGATGAGCCACTCTAACAGATTATTTAATGACGAAACGAGGGAAGTTCTGCGATGTAATAGAAATATAAACTAGAGGGCGCTATCAACTTGGTTCATTATTTTTTCGTACAATGTAATAAATAATAGGAAATGTTCATCATTAGAAATGAACTAATTTGCAATATCGTATAATATATTATAACTTTTAATATGGTTATGGTATCTATTAATTTAATATAATTTGATTAATTATTTACGGATTTTATCGCGTTTAATTACTTTAATTTATTTTTATTATTATCCCGACGTTTCGGGTGCTTTACAGCGCCCATGGTCACGAGGGGGACTGAGATGTTTGACGTCACAATGTCATAGTTAGTCCGGCTACCTTCAGTTTTTTAATATTAATTTTTAGTCGGATTTACGCAAAACGAGCTTATAGTATCATGAAGTCTTGCAGTGGTATGCTTGGGTTTGGGTTTAATTTTGTTAATTATAGGATCCCAAGCAGATGGTAGCACCCAACCATCTTCTCTATTGAAATTTGGATGTTTTTTAATTTCAATAGCCTCGCGTATCATCCTTGGTAGGAATCGGTGTTCTTTTGCGAGAATTTGTGGTTTATCAAATCTAATGTAATGGTGGGGACGATCTTGAACATGTTCGCAGACTGCAGACTTCCCGGAGCGTCGGTGCTTCACATCAGCTATATGTTCCTTCACGCGGGTTTTTATAGATCTCTTTGTTTGACCTATGTAAGAGAGACCACATTCACAATCTAGCTTGTACACACCTGCATCTTGTAGAGGAATATTACATTTGATGGATGGTAAAAATTGACTAATCTTCTTCAGCGGCTTGTAGTATGTCTTAATGGACGCTCGCTTCAAGATGTAGCCAATCTTGTCCGTGACTCCTCTGACATATGGTAGTAGAGCAGGCGCGCGCTCGACTGTGGCCGGCTTCACTCGGTCACTGTGACGTAGGCGCGGGACCCGAAGCTTGTTGTCTTGCAATACTTGCTTGACGTGCTGAAGCTCGGCGGCCAGATGTTTTCTGTCACAGATCCCTCGTGCTCTCTGAAACAAAGATTTACCCACGGTAGCTAACTGTGAAGGATGGTGGTGAGATTAACCATTTAAATATCGGTTGGTATGGGTCTTTTTTCTATACACAGTGTGACCAATAGTGTTATCAGGATTTCGAATGACTAAAATATCTAGGAAAGCTAAAGAATTATTTGCCTCTAACTCCATTGTGAATTGTATTTTAGAGTTTATGAAGTTAAGGTGGTCTAAAAATGCAGTTACTTTGTCAGATGGTAAAATTGTGAAAGTGTCGTCTACGTACCGCTTGTAGAACCTTGGATTTACAGGAGCAGTAAGAAGGGCTTTCTCCTCAAAGTCCTCCATGAATATGTCGGCGACTATGGGAGACACAGGTGAGCCCATCGCCACACCATCTACTTGCTTGTAGAACTCCTCCTTCCACAATAGATAGCCAGATGTGAGGCAATGTTCAAGTAGTATTGCATATTCTTGAGGCATGTTATTTTCTTCTAGCTTCCTAGTTACAATTGAGATGCAGTCCACAATAGGTAGGCATGTAAATAGTGACTGAACATCAAAACTGCCCATAGTTTCATTGTTAGCGAGATGTAGGTCTTCTATCTCACTCACAAAATGGTATGAATCCTTTGTGTGTGCTCTGGTATGTCCTCTTAGTGGTGATAGTATTTTTGCTAAGTACCTATTGTGCCAGCTTATAGGTTGGTGAATCGATCTGGCTCACTATGGGACGTAGTGGAGCGTTTGGTTTGTGTATCTTCGGTAACCCATACTCGTTTTGCGTAAATCGGACCAAAAATTAATATTAAAAAACTGAAGGTAGCCGGACTAACTATGACATTGGGACGTCAAACATCTCAGTCCCCCCCGTGACCATGGGCGCTGTAAAGCACCCGAAACGTCGGGATAATAATAAAAATAAATTAAAGTAATTAAACGCGATAAAATCCGTAAATAATAGTTTTATTCAATGTGTAGTGTTCGCGTAAATTTAAGAAATCATAATTTGATTAACTTTATTCATTAGTTCAAACTTATTTTATATATATACCGCAGTATCTCAAAACTTTGATAGCGTGATTTAGGCTTCGGTATATAAATAAAAAACGTTAGCAGTGGTGCCATTTATTGAGTAAAATGTGTGAAAATAGTAGTGAAAAGAGTGCTTTCAATGACTGTGAGATGGTACTAGTTTCAACGTTAAAGTAAGCTACTAAGGACTTTCATACTCCTGGTTGATACTTAGACACGTATTTCGGCTCTAAACAAGGATAATCAAGAGAAATGGACTCTGCGACTCTTTTTACACAATACAAAGCCTAATTCCCTTCTCTTTTAAACTGAAATAATTACGATCTATCCCCAGCACTGGGCAAAACGTATGGGCAACAAATCGTCACGGCGCGGCAACGTATCAACTGTGGGCGTGGACATCGGCACGTGGGTGTATGAGAAGCAGCGATCCTCGAAAGGTCCGGTCACCTTCCGCACTTGGGACTTCGGAGGACAGCAGGAGTAAGTCCTTGACTTGTAAATTTGAATTATTTTGTTTACTTTTGTGTATATTTTAACTTTCTACTTCTCCGTGTGGACTAGATAATAATGGAGTTGACTTTCTAACCTGTCTCTTTGTTTGTTTGTTTGTTCGGTATAAATTTTGTATACGTTGTTAAACTTACTTCTCTATGAGCCAGATACTTGAAAGTTGAAATAAAGCTCAAAATTTAATGACAATGAAATATAAACTTACTTTTTTATCTGTCTGTTTCTTTTTTTTAAACTGTCGTATTTTTATTATTATTTATAAGTGAAAACTGCTTTAGAAGCAATCGTTGTGATGTGAAAACTCTATGAAACGGTAAAGCGACACTAAAAAGAGACAAACATATACACCTGTAGGATTTAGCCTGCGAGAGAATGAGATAGAATATTTTAAGTATAAGTAATAATAATAGTGTGTCATATTATGTCTGGAGATTAATAATAATGTGGTCTATGAGCAGTAAGGATAGGGATGTAATTTTTAATTAGAATATATTTAGATGATTAAATTGAGAACTTGAAGTGTTGAGTATATGAATAGTAATATTTTATGTAGAGTAAAATGTAAAATAATTTTTAAACTTATTAACATTATTATAATAAATTCACCCTACAATTATCCTACCCATGATACTACATTCGTCTCATTCTCTCGAAGATTAGTTTTCTGATGGTGTCACTTCTACTTCGTGTATATATGCCTCGTTGGTTAGTGGTTGTAGTAGCGTTCTATCATGAGGTCCTGGGTTCGAATCCCGGGTCGGGCCAATAAATTAATTATTGAGTTTTTCCGTCAAGAAATTCTCAGTAGCTGCCCGGAGTCAAAAAAGCACGTAAAGCCGTTGGTCCTGCGCCTGATCTCCCTCCCGGTCGTGTTGGTTCACAGAGTGAGGCAATAGAGAGTGCACCTTTGCTTGCGCATACATTTGGGCACTATAATCCTGTCCTGCGCAGATGGCTAGCCTCCGTTGAGGAAGGCCGCCGTGGCCGAAATTCGGTGTGGAGGACATTATTATTATTAATACACACACATACACACACACGCACACACGCATGCACGCACACACACACGCACGCACGCACGCACACACGCACGCACGTACGCACGCACACACACACGCACACACACACATATATATGTGTAGGTATAGCTAAAGTATATATATGTATATATATATATATATATATATATATATATATAGAGAGAGAGAGAGTAACTGAGACGAATGTAGTATCATAAGTAGGATAATTGTATTTCTTTTTTGAGAGAGAGTAAAGAACCAGCCTTCTTATCATTAGCGGCGTCGACAAGTCGCGAGTTCAGTCCTTTTAGGAACTTCAGCGCACGTGATCCCCACGAACTGATAGTCGTCTCCACAGCAAATGGCACAAATATGTAGTCATCCCTCCGAGACTCCTATTTGCGGATCCATGCTCTCACAGAATACCAGCGTGAAATAGTAGCTTAATGCTGCTGTGTTTCGTACGGTGAGTGTAGAGAACTGAAGACCCTTTTTATTGGAAACGAGGCATTCCATCTTAGTCCTCACGGATGACAACGCATCTGCATTTTGATTCTTAATCGAAGATAAATGTGGATGTCTATGGGGCACAGCAACCACTGACCATCAGAAGGACTGTGTGCACGTTTGTCACACTTATTCTATGAAAAATGATGCTTAATCGAGCATAAATGTAGGTTTCTATGGGCCACAGCCTCCACTTACCGTTAGGGTAACTTTGTGCTCGTATGTCAGCATTATTTAAATAAAAAAAAAAACGTTATTATGTAGGTACTACGCAACGCACCAGTATTTCCTGTCGCGTCGCTCGTTGTACCTGGTGGTATGGCGTACCATTGACGGGCGGAAAGGGCTGGCAGGAGCTTTGGCTTGGCTCAGGTAAACATATAATATAATATATTTCGATTTTTGTTATATCTTCTAAACATGTAGTGGCGGTGTAATGTAAGGATATCCACTACCTCGTATCGTCCCGTGGGTAAAAGCCGACAAAAGAAAACAAACCAGAATATGAGCCCAGCGTCTTTCAACAACTAAATGAAAATTGCGGTTGCCAATCCGTATACCAAGCGCGCCAACTATGACAATCATCATCATCAGGCCTTCACAAGTCCACTGCTGAACATAGGCCTCCCCCAAGTAATGCCACAAAGCACGGTCCTGAGACACCTGCATCCATCGACTTGCTGCATGTCTTACCAGGTCGTCACTCCATCTAGTGGGGAGTTACCCTACAATACGCCTATTGATATGAGGCTGCCACTCGAGAACTTTTTTCCCCATCGTTTGTCTGTTCTTCGAGCTACGTGGTCGGACTATAAGAGTAAGACAATAGAGAGTGCACCTGTGCTTGTGCACACACTCGGGCACTACAATCCTGTCTTACGCAGATGGCTAGCCTGCTTTCAGACTGGCCGCCGTGACCAAAATTCCGTCTGGAGGACATTTTGTAAAGATAAAGTTTTCTATCCTAATATAATTTCCTATCCTAATATATATCCTAAGCTAATTGCGCGCACGGTAGCGTGTGAGATTTGGTACAGTTATTTAGTAGTTAGTAAAATGTAAATTTAAAGTGGTACAAATATATTAAATTATTAAATATTATTATTAACGTTGTGGAGCCACGCTGCCGTTATATTATGGTTGTAGCACGAATGGGTCAGCTAGACCGGGAAAGGACCACGCTCTCACAGGATACTAGCGTAAAGTAGCAAATTAATTCTGCTGTGTTTCGTATGGTGAGTTTAGAGATCCGGAGACCCTTTGTACTGGAAACGGGGCATTTCATCGGAGTCCTCAGGTGTGACAACGCACCTACGTTTTGATTCTTAAGCGAGGATAAATGTAGATGTCTATGGGCCACAGCATACACTTACCGTCAGGTAGACTGTGTGTTCGTTTGTCACCTATTCTATAAAAAACGTCCATTGTTTACGTTCATAATGCCAATGTCAAAGACATAATTGTTATTTGTATACTGCCAATGTCTCAGAGTAATCACTCTGTATGTTAGCACTCCAAGCCCACTGTCTAGCATTTAATAATCTGTGTTCAATCGCACAGAGTAGATTGTCGCTGAAGAATTTTGCCTACAAACAATTACTGACGGATTAAGTTAAATAGCTGTGAATTTTGTGTGATTTCAAATATTCTTTTTTCAATATTGTGGAGTGTGTCATGACAAAAGAGTAGTATTTTAAATATTTTGTACCTATATTAGATTATCTGTGTTTTAATTATTAATATGCAGTTGAAAGTAAAATACTTTAACTTAAAGCTTGCTCACATACAAACCCAAAAAAAATTTATACATAAATTAATAGATTCGTTTATTTTCAGGTCAATACAAGCCCGGGCCCCGGGCTCGCCCGTTATTATGGTCGCAACGCACTACGACCAAGTCATCAATGTGAGTGCATTATATGTATTAGTCACGTGGTAGGGACATACTGCAGCTATATTATAGTTGCAGCACGAATGAGCGGCTCGACTGTGGTAGAATCAAGCCTTCACAGAATATCAGCGTGAAATAGCAGCTTAATGCTGCTGGTGATTGTAGGCTCAGTGTAGAGAACAGGATCGGTACTCTTTTTACTGGAAACTACGCAATCCAACTTAGTCCTCACGGGTGAACGCATCTGTATTTTGATTCGTTATCGAGTATGGATGTAGATGTTTATTGGCCACAGCAACACAGCTACCATCAGTCGACTGCGTGCTCGTTTGTTACCCTTATTCTATAAAAAAAACTCAATTACGTCTACCACATACGTCATACTTTGGAACAGGTGCTACTTGAGTTTGGTATGCACTACTGGTAAACTTTAAATTTTTAAGGTCCTTTTTTGACTACATCATAGAACATGCTTCAGTTACAGTAGAGCCCGTAATTGTTTTCTATTATATATATATATATATATATATATATATATATATATATATATATATATATATATATATATATATATATGTAAACTTTGAAATTGACAAAAAGATATCCTGTTTTTGTCAATTTCAAAGTTTCCTCAGGAATTTAAACGGTAGTAGTAGATTTATTTGAATTTAATTTCGATTATAAGCAGGTCCATAAATAATCCAATATCCAAATAGCGATCAAATTTTCTAAATTTTGATGACAGGTTTGTTTTTCGTGATAAATGGGACCTACAGTTGTCGGTTCAAAATAGCAGCCGTTTTTGAAATTCTGACAACATATTTGTTTCTCAGGAATTTTTTGTATAACCTATAAATAGTTGTTCCAGGTTTGCATGTTTGTCTTTATTAGGTTATAGTAGTTTGAAGTAATTGCCTCAATGATATCGGAGAAAATTGTAGTATGGTAACATTTCCCATGTTTAAAAAATAAAAAGAGACTAATTATTTCATAACTCAGAAATAAGACGAGAACTATGCCCAAACGTGGGACGTATATAGCTGTTGCTTCACGGCTCCAGTTTCTGCCTTGCTATATCTTTCTTGCCATATGTTAATGGTTATTTCCCTGAGTTGGCGCTTTGCGTAGGACAGCGGGAAGCAATCATAGACTGGTGCTTGTTTAGATGTTTCAGCTGCTGACTTTGCTAATTCTGCTCTTTCATTTCCCAAGATGCCACAGTGACCTAAATCCAATACATCTTTACATTCCCCTGGTTGATTCGAATTTCATTAATTTTGGCCAGTATTTCTGCTGCTATGGGATGAACGGTGCTTGAATTTAAGAGGCATTCTAGGGCCGATTGAGAGTCACTAAGTATGTGCGCTTTGTTAAAATCATGTTTAGTTTTTACAATCGTTAGTGCTTTAAGGTTGGTGGCAAGTCCTGCCTGATAGACGTTGCAGCGGTTGCCTAATTTTAACTTGGTTTTGTGAACCTCTTTTCCTTCCTTCCAGCAGCTTACTGCAGCACCAACTTTACCCGAAATCTTGCTACCATCTGTATATATTATAGGCCAGAAGCCGTATAATAGAAGAATAGTACAGAAGCATACAAAACAATTAGTAAAATTAATGTAAATAATCAAATATCACAAATATTGACAGGACACGGTGGTTTTGAAGCTTACTTATTTAGATTTAAATTGGCGGAAAGTCCCTACTGCAGCTGTGATAATCAGACTCTACAAACAATTGAATATATTCTTTTAGAATGTTCTAAATTTCAATTAGCAAGACTGGAATGTGAACTGCGTATGGGCTTTGTGCTAAAAGAAGACGCTCCAAACAGAGCTATTAACAACAATGACAGTGGAACTCACTTTCTTAAATTTGCAATAAGTAGTGTAGGAAAAATTTATAAGGAAAATTTAATTTAACTTGTTCTCTGTGAAACAGAGCAACCTGCCTGAAAGCGAGAGTCCGCTGGCGTTACAGCGGCTCATCAGAGCCTCGGTGATGGCGGCCCCTGACGCCGACAAGTTGGGGCTGCCGAAGGTGTTGGACTCCATCGAGGTAGGTAGAGATCTATTTATGACCATGGCTCGGATTAAATATATTGTTGCGCGCCTAAGTTGATGTCTGGTACCTGGCACTAGCGCCATCTTGTGCCATGTTGAACATTATCGATGTATTTCGCATATGTATTTAATAGGTTAGAATTATGAATAAAAAAATAGACATGTTGTTTACGGCAAATTAACAATGAAATAAAAGAAATCGATAAACAATGTTAAGTACATTTAAAACAGTAATTAAACAAATTGAAAGAATTTAACAAATATCTAGTTCATTTGTTATACAGTTCAATATTTTTTGCTATTGATTGAAGAAATAGTAATTTTGACAAAGAAGTACATTTCAATCTGTTTCTCTGTTGATAAGCAGTTGAACTTTTTAATACTAGTATGGAATCTGGTGTGTTTCCTGATTTAATGAAGCATAGTAAAGTAATACCTTTATTTAAATTTCGTAGTACATTGGACCCCGCTTATTTTAGACCTATTTCTGTACTGCCAACACTTAGTAAAATTTTTGAAAAAAATATTCTTGATCAAATGTTAAAATTTTTTTAATGTAAATAATTTACTTCATAAAAATTAATGATGCTGGTGTTGAGCTGATTAAATATATATTTAATGCATGGGAGAATTCACAGGATGCTTTGGGTGTATTCTGTGACCTATCCAAAGCCTTCGATTATGTTCACCATGAAACATTAATAAGGAAACTTCAACATTACGGTGTAAGAAGCGATGCTCTTAAATTAATTATTTCATATTTAAGTGACAGAACGCAAAACGTAGTCATTAATAGTATGAGTTCTTCCGGGTCGATTGTACAAATGGGCGTGCCTCAGGGCTCAATTCTCGGCCCTTTTCTATTTCTTGTATATAACTTACCTTACATAGTAGGGGATAACCATGATATAGTATTATTTGTTGATGATACTTCATTAATTTTCAAATTAAAACGACAGTTATTAAATTACAACGAAGTAAATAATGCTATAGCTAAGTTAGTCAATTGGTTTAATGTTAATAATTTGCATTTGAATGGAACTAAAACTAAATGTATGGAATTCGTAACTCCTAATGTTAAACATGTCAATACTAATTTAATTTTAAATGGGAGGGGGGGAACTGAGCCTTGTTGATACCACCATTTTTCTTGGAATCACACTGGACGCAAAGCTTCAATGGCTCCCCCATATATCAAAATTAGCTAGCAGACTTAATTCTGCAGCATATGCCGTAAAAAATATTAGAACTCTTACCAGTGTTGAAACAGCTAGAATAGTTTACGAGGAAATTTCGGAAATCAAGGAAGAGTGACACAACATTACTATTTAAAAATGTATTTATTGCTTTTCGAAGTATTGTCCTCGAAATTTGACACATTTTTCCATACGATGGAACTAATCATTGAAGCAACCATTCTATTCGGAATTGGGGTCTCCAAAATGGCCGTTTTGTAGGCGTCCACAGCTTCTTCAGGTGATGAAAATCTCTGTCCACGCAATTTATTCTTTATTTTAGGGAAAGTATAGAAATCATTAGGGCTTAGGTCGGGGCTGTACGGTGGATAGTCTAATAATTCTATGTTTTCTTGCTCTAAAAACTCTTTTGTTCTGTGTGCGGTGTGAGAACTCGCATTGTCGTGATGGAGGATGATGCGGCGGTTGCAGTTCTCTTTACGGAGTTCAGAAACGACCTGTGGGAAACAAATGCTAGCATACCATTCTGCACTAACCGTTCTTTGTCCCTCAAGAAGAATTGTCGTAAGATGGCCGGTTTTGGGGACAAACGTGGCCACCATTTTTTTTGCAACACTCCGTGAACGAACAATTTTTGTTGGCTTTAACTCATTTTCGAACACCCAAACTCGTGACTGGTTTTTTTGTTTCGTATTCGTGCGCGTATATCCAGGATTCGGCACCTGATACGATGTTGTATACAGCATTTGAGGATCCTGCGTGAAATCTTTCGAGAGTTCCGACGCACCAAGTAACGCGAGCCGCTTTTTGCTCTTCACAGAGCGAATGCGGTATCCATCGGGAAAATAACTTTTTTACACCTAATTGTTCATGCAAGATTATTTGTATTTAACTTATGCCAATATCTAAAGTTGCCTGAATTTTGCGGTATGTCACATGCCGATCTTCCTCAATCAGCTTACACGCAGCATCAACGTTTTTGGACGAACTTGACGGGGATCATCACTGAGCTTGACACGTCCACGTTGAAATTCTGCAAACCAGCGTTAAATTGTGGTTTTGGATGGGGCTTCATCACCAAATGCAGAAATCATCCGGTCAACACACTGTTTTTGTGTTAAACCACTTCGATAGCTTCTTGAATTTTCTCGAGTCAATTCCATTTTCTCAACGACTAAACAAGTTTGACAAAACCTTGTGACAAGACCGAGAATCTTTTTTTAAATAAATAAATGGTATTCGATTTTTAAAACCAAGGAGTTTTCAATTAAAAAGATTTTAATATGACAGGAGCAGTGGAAATATTCCATTCCCGATACTTTTAGTGCAGCCTAGTACTTTAGTTATTTCCATAGCATTATGTCGTATGGTATTTTGCTATGGGGACACTCGACTGACACTGAAATTATATTTATTTTACAGAAGAGGGCCATTAGAGCAATATATAATTTAAAACCAAAAGAGTCACTCAGACAAAAATTTTGGGAAATTAATATATTAACTCTGGCCTCTCAATACATTTACGAAAATAAGTGATATTCATTCTGTAAATACTAGGAACAGACACAAGCTAGTAGTACCAGTTACTCGACTCCACCGAGTCAGTCATAGTCATTTATTCCATAGAACAATATTACATTATATTGGAAAATTAATTACACAAAATCAAAAATTACGTTTACATGCAATTGACATAAATAAAACAAAAATCGAATAAAATTTAAATATCATTTGACAATCATTCTATATACTTATATACATTTAATACTTTTCATGTCATAATTAAATATTTTTCATGTCTTAATAGATTAAAATATAGTACATAAACAAAAAAAATTAACATTCATTAAGTTTATTTTTGTCATTTAGGTATTCGTCAACTGAGTAGTAGCTTTTCTTAATTAATAATGATTTGAGTTTGTTTTGGAATTTTCGGTGGCAATAAATAACTTTAAATGAGATAGGTAAAGAATTAAATAGTGCAATGGCTTGATGCCTTGTGCTGTGGCGTACAACATTCAATGTTGGTGTTATTGAAGTTTTTAAGTCTTCTCGACGTGTCATTTCTCTCCTTTTCCTTTCTTCGTTTGTTTCATATTTGTAAAAAATTTTTACTAAGTATGTAAGTGAAACTAAGACATACGGAGAGGTAACCGTAAGTATGCCAAGTTTTCGAAAATTTTCTTTACACGACTCAATTTGTGGAATACGTAACATGGTGCGGATCGCTCTTTTTTGTAATACAAACGCTTTCTTATTATTATATTTATAACTGTTGCCCCAGAATTGTATGCTATAACGAAGTTGTGATTCTACTAGAGCTAAATAAACCAACTTAAGCTGCTTTAACGTAACTTCGTCTCGTAAACTTCTTAAGGCATAGCATGCTGAACTGATAGTAGATTCTAGTGCTGTCATTTCCTTTTTCCAGTTCAAGTACATGTCAATGTGGATTCCTAGAAATTTTACTGATTGAACAGATTCAATATTTTACCGTCAATGTTAATGTTTATTGAGTCCTTTTGTCTTGCTGTAGATTTGCAAAGCATTGCGTACGTTTTATTTGTATTTAGTAGTAGATCGTTAGTAGCAAACCAATTTTTAAAGTCATACAGTGTGCTTTTCATTTTGGTATTTAGTTCGTCTATCGAGTTAGCAGATACAATCGCGTTTGTATCATCCGCATAAATTGTTAACTTTACGTCTTGCTGTTTGCTATGTATGTAAGCAGTTAAATCATTAATGAATATTATAAATAATATGGGTCCCAAAATGGAGCCTTGTGGAACACCCTTCTTTAAGGTTTTCAATTTAGATTTGTATATCGTTTCAACGCCGTCTATTATTGTTTTAATCTCAACAAATTGTTTTCTATTTGATAAATAGGATTCAAGTAACCTTAAGATTGAGCCTCTAACTCCGTAATATTCCAATTTCAGTAGTAGTATATTATGATTTATCGTGTCAAAAGCCGAACTCAAGTCTAATAATAGACCTCCTACCTTATATTTATCATTGAGTCTACACACCACATCATCGACTAGCGTATTTATAGCATCTATAGTACCTACGCGTTTGATTACCAAATTGCCTCTCACTTAATATATTATTTTGTCGCAAATGTGCTACTAGTCTTACCTTTATCAGCTTTTCATAAATTTTAGATAAAATTGGTAGCAGGGAAATCGGTCTATAGTTTTTGGGGTCCATTTTACTTCCCTTTTTATGTACCGGAAGTACTCGTGCAACCTTAAGCTGATCAGGAAACAGAGATTGTCCCACACACTTATTGAAAAGATAAGCTAAAGATTCAGCCAATATATCAATATTGGTGGAGCCACGTGTTTAAGGCTGCCGAAAATCTAGTTCCCCGGTCAAACCTCAAACCTATTACGCGAGATATTAACTAAAGTGGACTGTATATGCGATTGCTTCTACGCTTACGTAAAGCGACTACTATAGCATGCGGTACAATGCACTCGCTCTTCCCTAAACTAAACTATTACTTGTCGAATCGATGAAAGGAATCCTGCTTGACTAGGAAAAAAAACACAGATTGGAGCGGGTTAAACTATTAGCAAGCAGGTATAATTAAGGAATATTGACTCACCGGGGTTTCTTCTTCCTGTCGATCACTATAGCGGCGACTTCCGGAACCTCCTCTGGACAGACACTTCTGGGGCCCCAGTGGTGCGTCAGGAGAGAAGCGTTGGTTCAACGACGACTGCGGCGGGAGAAGAGGCTCGCGCATCGGTCGCGCGTGTCTTATATATCCTCGGCTCGGGTGATTACGCGATGT